AGGGAAAGGGAGAGGAAAAGAGTAACTTCATTGTGGAGGAATCTGAAAAACATTATCTCAGCCAGGTGACCAAGGGCAACATCAACGGTGATAAGTCATGTTGACAGTATGCATGTTAGTAGGCATCATGTATTCATGTGATAATGGCACTTTTTCTCTGCGGCCTTTCCCCAAAAAACCCATAACCCCAGTCTAATCATGAGAAAAACATCAGACAAATTCCAATTGGACATTCTACAAAATAAGTGACCAGTACTCAAAACTATCAAGGTCACCAAAAACAAGGAAAGTCTGAGAAACTGTCACAGCCAAGAGGAGCCTAAAGATACAAGGTGACTAAATGTAATGTGCTGTGCTGGATGAGATCTTAGAACAGAAGAAGGACAGGAGGCAAAAACTAAGGATAACCTGAATAAAGAATGGACTTCAGTTAATAATAATGTATCAATAATTGTTCATTAATTTTAACAACTGTACCACACTAATGGTAAGATGTTAATAACAGGGAAACTGGTTGTGGATATATGGGAACTCTCTGTACTGTCTTCACAATTTTTCTATGAATCAAAACTGTTCTAAAATTCTACACCCTGAACACGCCTGATTCCGTCTGATCTCGGAAGCTAAGCAGGGTTGAGCCTGGTTAGTACTTGGATGGGAGACCACCTAGGAAGGCTAGGTGCTGTAGGCTTAAAAAAACAAAAACAAAAAAACCCCCACTGTTCTAAAAAGTAAAGGCATTTTTTAATGCCATTCTTTTCACTAAATATTTATTTTTGAAAATAGTTATTTTTCATAAAAATGTTATTTATGTTAACATGTAATGGGTTTATTATTTTCAATGAATGCTCACATTTTTTCTCAATTTTAATTTCTAATATGTTAAATACTGATAGCTATAACTCACAAAAAAGCTCTTCGGAGTCATCAGTAATTTTTAAATGTGTACAGGATCCTTAAGTCAAAAGTTTGAAAACAACTGATGTAGATAAGTTTCACATATATGGAAAATACATGTATGTGGAATCTCATTCTTCAAAATATAGGATAAATGAGACTTTAGTGTAAAGGCAGACTTCAATTTATATACATATTGTGCTACTCAAGTTTGTGAAATAAATTGCCTAGCATTTTCTCAGCAATATTACTTTCCAGGATCATCAGAAAGTATTCCTGTTACTATGATAGCAAACCATCAAAGCACCTGTGCAGCATAAGTAACACTGTCCTACACTTACCATTATACTTCTATTAGCTGGGTAGGATGAGAGGGTTGAATGCCTACTAAGAGCCAGGTTCTGTCGGTACCTTACATATATTCTGTTATGGATGGTTGTCAAGCAGCGCGTCTCGTCACCATGTCTAGGGCCAACATCACTCAACTAGTAAGTACAGTAAGTGAAAAAGAGTTATGAACCCAGGTCCCACCATGAAACCTCACTTTGCTGTAATGAGAGCAGCCCCCAGATAGACATGGGCCAGGTGGATGATGACAGGATACTCAGAAGAGAGAGAACAGTATGTAGCTACAAGCGTGAGCAAAGGCTAAGTATAAGGGTTAAGAGATTGAGGGAGTAAGGAGATGAAGTTGAAAAGCAGTGTCAAAGATTGGGGGTGAGAATGAAAAGACAGGTGTGTAAAATAACAGCTAAGAGAGTGAAAACTAGAGCAAGGGTTCTGGAACAGGTGGCAAGAGGGGCTTATCTTCTCCTTTTACTCAAATCCTCCCTTGCTGTCAATGCCACATGCCACCACCACCAACCACTTGCCAAGTCTTCACCACAGCCAACAGACCCCAGTTTGAAAGGTGAAGAGGATGCAGGAGGAGCTTTGTCTTCTCCTCCCACTGTCCCTTGCATTGTCTCCTCCCCTGACCTTGCTTTCCATGAGGCTGAATCAGGGATCAGAACAAGAATCAGGGATCAGAGCTTTGGGGAGAAGAAGAGGGTGACAAAATACATTCCTGGCAGCAGGCTCACCTGTCATAAGGGGAAAATCTTGGTCTGCCCAAGCCTGTCAGGGAGGTGATCTGTCAGGGAGGTGGCCCACCAGCAGAGTGCTATCTGAAAGGTGGGCATGCCCAAGACAGTTACATGACTGACTCTGAAAACACTACATTTAAACTTAAAAATAACTTATGACAAATTTCACTGCATTATCCTGTTTAGAATTTTATACTTGCATTGTAACTGCCCTAAAATTTCTCTTTCTTGGGTACTTTTCTGGAGCCAATTAGTGCTCTAAAGATCAAACTTCACAAAATTATCAAAAAATCTATGAAAACCAAACATAAATGGCTTCTTTTAGCTACTTATAAATCTGAAACTGTATCTATTTTAGCATATGTTTACAAAGTCTAAATGTATCTTCCCTCTATTACTTAAAAAATGTTGCCTGCCACCCCTCAGCTCCCCACAACACAGCACCTTTTCAACAATTTTTTAAAATAGCTTTCATTGCCTTTTACTTGACCGATCAAGAAACATATTTCTTAATGAACAAAAATTACTTTATCAAGAAAAAAGCCATGCCAAAGCATTGAAGACACTATTACTGAAGGTGCCTTTCCAGTAGAGAAAATGAAAAATAGATTTAATTCATTTTCATACCTAGTTTACAAAGTAGTATATTCCTGCATTTCTGAACCATTTATCAAAGCAATAGCATTCAGCAAGCAACTGATACTTTACCTGCTGAGTTGCTTTTGACGTTCTACTAAAAAAAAAATATATGTTACTAAATGTATTTAGATTTTTGTACCATCTGTGGGTTCTTTTCACAACTGAACCCCCAAACAGTGAGATTTCTTCTCCCTGTCATCCTTCCTCAAACCCTCTCTGCAATAGAGACTAAAACAAAAGGTCTAAATATTGAGGGTCTTGCATTTTTAGAGGAAGACTGAGTGGATTTTAAATTATAATCGAAAAGTTAAGATATAGTGATGAATCAATTACCCCAAGTTAATAATGTATGTTCAGAAGAAAAGGGGTAGCAATTCACCCTAATCATTTTAAACTTAAGAAGTTGGAAATAAAGCATTTGTAAACTTGTATCAAGTACACAAAGTAACAGACTACCAAGTATAATTTTCAAAAGCAGACTCACCAGGCAATCAATCATCCTTTAAAGTTAGTGAAACAAAACACTTTATTTGTTATTTTCCATTTATGTAAGAAAAAAGTATCGCTTCTGATAGGATTCCTTTCAATAACAAATTTTCTTCAGAGTACAAAGACAAATTTGGAAAATTAATTGTTTATAATTACAGTGAATTAATTGGGTACAAAAGTCTTTTAACTGTACCAAATGTCAGTGATTATAAAATGCAACATATTTCATGTAACATGAAGGAAAGAAAAGAAAAGCTGTCAATTAGGCTGGAGCATAATGCTTACCAATAGCATTCTGTCTTCAAGATTAAAATGGGAACAGAATTGTTTTCAAATCAAGGAAATACTGGAACCTTAAACATATCATTCAAATATATCAGAATATCAGAAGTAAAATTATCTACAGATAAAATACAATCTTGAATACTAAAGAAGTAATCTATGCCCACTATATTACAATAAAGTCAGTGCTTCAACACAATTCCTAATGTTTGAATTGTCCAAAAGTCAAAGCTTTTAGCAAATATGTCTGTAATTAATCAAATGAAAGGCATCCCCTGAAATTGATCTTGAGATTAAAAGCCACTATTCAGTGATGAAAATGATAAAAACAACTGTAAAGAGCAATAGTTCACTCAGAAACAGCTGGTGTTTCAGCATATAAGTTCACTGTATACTTAGACAAAAGTGCAGTGTAGTGTTACATTCCATCCCACCTGCTACACTAATAAACACTGGCTCTACCACACAACATCCATATTTGAGAAATGTCAAGTAAAGTAAAAGAGGAATCATATGCTTAAAACTAATGAGGGGAGGGGCAGGGGAATATTTGTTTACAACAAATTTACATTTTAAAAAATGTTGAAAGCTAACATGGACTCAATACTTTGGGTTTTTCCTTTTCTCTTTCCAAGGAGAAACTGAGGCAGATTCAAGATTCTGTGCAAGCACTACAGGAAGCTTTGTTATATCTTACCCACACTGAAGAACTCAATATTAATTCATGCTAAGTACTTTAAATACTAAAACATTTACATGCATTTTGTAGTCAAGTGATTTTCTAAAACGACTTCAACTTCTTAGGATAGTCTTGTGACAAAGATTCTTTGAGAGCACTGACCCCTTAATTTAGGAAAACACTCCGTTTTAAGATGCTTTTCTTCCAAATCTTATCACTTTCAGAATTTTGCTAGAGACACCTCAATTATCCAGAAAACAGCTTCCTAGTGTTAAGGGTGGAAAATTTTCAAGTGAGCCAACTAGCTAAGTGAGCTATAGGGAAGAAATATCTTTAGATACCAGAAGTTGTCCTCCTGCTTGGGTGTGGTTTAGGAGGTGTATTGTATAAGATATGAAGATGGCCAATGTCTGCTTCTGTAATCCACTTACTTGTTAACCAGGGTGTGGTACTAGGTGATGTATTGTGCTAATGGCCAACTTCTGCTTCTGTAATCTGCTTGCTTGTTCTAGGCTTTATAACTGCCTCACTCTCAAACCCTGGGACTGATCTCCTCTAACCCTGCGTGGTAGAGTCAGTCGCTGGCCAGCTAATAAAGGCTCATAATTAATCTCAATTGGCTCCGTGGGTCTTAGAATCGTTCGCGCCATAACACTAGTATCTCCAGCTAAATACACTATGTTTTGACACAACTTACAGGAGAAAAAAGGCAGAGCAGAAAACAAGTTGATTTCAGGACTTCGAGAAGTCCTGGTTCACTAATTCAGCAAAACCTAAGGGCCCAGAACAAGTTTCCAACCAATTAGTCTTACCTGGCAGGTCATCAAGCTGGCTGCGGTAGCTGGGCCAGTCTTCCCAAGTTTGCTGGGATTTCCAGAGGGGGTTAAAGCAATAATGGGAGGCCTTCACCCCGTTTAGGGACTTCTAAAATTCTTTCTTCTCTCCCCAGCTGATCTCTTTCCTTCATCTCTACTCTTTTAGCTTATGGAAAACCTAAGACTTTAGCAAATGAAAAGCAAGTTCTCCAGAAAACAGAGGCACTCAGCCCATCCTTTTATAATTATCTAAGGCACAATAGCCCGTACAAAAATAACAAATCATCAATAATTCTCTTCAGCCTCTAAAGAGAGATCCCAATGTATGTAATATCTTCTACTCAACAACTGAAAAGTATATTAACGTACTTTGGAATAATGTTTGTTTTAATTTTTGAATATGAAGGGTTTCTTCTATTCATTTAAATTAATCAAAAACCCAAGCATACTATTTAGTAATCAAGACTACTGTGTCTTTACCTAAAAATTTTTCTCCAAATTAAATTAGAATTCGTCTTTAACGAAATTAGTTTCTACAGTACCCTCCACTACACCAGAATGTCTTAGTAACAAGTGACCTTTTTGGAAGGAAAAAAAACTAACCTTCAACCCCCATCCTCCCGCCTTAATTCATTGCCTTGGCTCCAAACAAGAGGAGAAGGTGGAACGGCTGTTCTTACACGAAGCCTGGAAGTGGAGGGCATTCAATAAATGCCCATAAACACTTCAGTCCTCTGATAACAAGTTGGGCATTCCAAAACACTGGCTCCACCCCTCCAGGGTCAACCGCCAGTTCTCAATTCCAGACCGCCTTGGCCTTGCTCTAGCGAGATGAAACCTTGTCGCTCAAGGAGAAACAGGGTGGGGGGAAAGGGAGCCACTCGACCCCATCCCGCAGGGCGGCAAATGCTCTATTCACCCCGCCAGGATGTTAGTCCAGAGACCCACCCCACCCCACCCCATCCCGGTAACCAGCGTCTTCAGCCCTAGGATCCGAGGGGGTAAGAGCCCCCGCCCCACCCCGCAGACAGACAGCCTGGCGTCGGGACACGGGGGACGCCTGCGCAGAAGAACCCGCCTCCCATCCTCCTGGCCCCTCCGCTCGGAAGGGTAACAATACCCCCTCAGAAAGACAGGCAGGGTAGGAGGGGGGCACCGTACGCGTCTTCACGCTCTCCAGACGCCTGGCCGCGACCCTGCTTGCGCCACCAGCCCAGCGCCGCTGGTGCTCAACCGTCTCCACGTGAGCGCGCCCGCGCGCGCCACCACCACTCGAGCTGACAGGGTCTCCTCACCTGAGCCGGGCTCCGCCCCCCTTCTCCCTGGAGGAGGCAGTGACCCTTCTCCGATCCGACCCGACAGTGTCGGAGGAGGCGGGAACGTCCAGACTGGCGTCTCCGTGATGAGATTTCCTCTCCCTTCCGCCCACCCTCCCCGCCCACCCCGCCTCTCGTATTCCAGCTCCTTCAGCCCGTTCGCCACCGCACTCTGAGAACACCGCCGCGGCGGCCGACAGTAAACGGAAGTGACGCAATGCGAGATCACCTACTCCTCCCCCTTTGGCCGAACTGCAACCAATCAGCAGGGGAGGGGGCGAGGCCAAGGTAAGAGAGCAGCCAGCCGGCGCGCGGAATCCGGAGGAATTTACTGGGCTACGCTGGAACACTGACCAATCCGCGGTCCCAGGAGTTTCACTGTGTTTACTACCGACCGAATCTGTGAGTGCTGTGACCAATCACCGTTTTCCTTACAACACGCAAAATTGTTATCAAACGCCTTTAAGGCGGGATTTAGCACTAAGCGGTCCTAGGTTTGGGCTATAGAAAAGCTAATGTGTGTGTCGCAGCCAATCAAGACACGTAGTGGTTGAGGCAAACGGGTATTCCGCCTAATTCACCAATCACAATCGCGACTGCCGGGAGGCGGGCTCTCAGGGTAGTGCGTCCCACCATTCGCGGGACCTGAAGGATTTCCCCACCCTCTCGGCACCGCCCCTACTGTAACGCCCGGCTCCCTAACCAAAGTGAGTGCCCTTGCGGGACTCACACGCGCGCTGGGTGGAAGGTTGAGTTCCCACGTCGTAGACTCTGGAAAAAATAAAATTCCAAAAAGCTGTTTAGATTGAATTAGACGAAATCCAGGCTAAAAACGCTGAACCCAAAATGCTGTCCGTCTGACAGCAGTTGGATCCGACAGCTCTTCAAGTTCAGACCCGGGGGTGGCTTCTCGCAGCTCTGGCGCCGGAGAGTGACGGCTGGGTACGGGCTTTCCGACTCGCTCATTGCTCCACATTTCCTGCTGCAGGTCACAGAAGTCTGCAGTCTCCAAAACCAACCTCCCCCAAAACAAAGCTGGACACGTGGAACGGTCGCGGACTTCTCCCGGACGCTGTCAGAAAAGAGCAAGCTCTGGGGCGGCTCCCGAGATCCCAGGTGCCTTCGGATGGAGAACCCGAGCCCTGAGGGAGACCGGCCGGCGTGTCCTCCTAGGGCGCCCGGCACTGGGGCAGGAAAAAGCCCTCCTTCCTCCGAGGGGTGAAGAGGAAAGAAGAAAGCTCGTAAGAGCCCTTCTGGGGCGGTTGAGGGTGGCGGTGGGGTTTGTAGGTTGGAGTGGCGCAGCTATCCGGGAGCTCGGAGGCTTGGCTCTGGAGACAAAAGCAGGTTGGGGAATGCCTCTGGATTCTTTTAGGAGGAGGGATGGAAAGAGGCGACTATTTTTTTAAAAAGGAACATCCCGCTGTGTCAGAACTTAACACCCAAATATTATTACAGCTGATCCGTCTCTCCAGACGTTACAGATTGGAAATATTGCCCTTGGAGTTTTATTCTTTAAAGCCTCAATGAAGTCTGATGGTATATTCTGTTCTTTAAGATTCCCTGACAGTTATAGCACTTACAGATGTTTTATTGCCAGATTGAACCGTAAAATAATAATAAAAAATATATATGGAAGGCTGACAATAAGCCAAGCGATGGAAGATTTAAAACAAATAAAGGCAGTGAAACTGATGGAACTGAGAAGTTCTAAAGACTTAACGGTATTCTCCCTTAAGTGTGCTCTTTTCCGTTTTTTTGTGTTCCTCCTAGGAAGTGAATTCCTGAGGGAATGATCGTTTATTTTCATTCTTATATCTTCCAAAGTGCCTTGGATAGTGTTAGAAGACAGAATGAGGGTTTTTAAAGATCTGGAAGGTTTTTTTGGAGTGAAATTGGACAGTGTGTATTAAGAATTTTTTGATGTATTCATGTTCGTTGACTCATTAATTCACACCCTAGGACTCCAACAAAAGGAATCCATCCAAAAAAGGCAGACAAAGTTTTATGCTTAAAAAGATCGCAAGCAACGTGGCATGTAACAGTAAAAAAAAATTGGGAATAGCCTAAATGATCAACTAAAGGATTGGATGTATAAACTCTGTGGCAACATTTAATGGACTATAATGTGAGATTTGAGGAAAGGAGGATACAAAATTGAATACAATAATATATCAAATATATAAACATATTCACAGAGAGGAATCTGGAAAGAAAGAAAATATTAACAATGTTTGCCTTTAGGCAGGGAAGGGATCATGGGTACTAGAGTTGCACTCTTTATATTTTTCTGTATTTTCCCCAATATTGGACATCAAAATTACATTGGTTTGATAATTATTTTTAAATCTAATAAATGTTGGGAAAAATTAAAGTATCTGAGTAAGCTAAATCTATAAAGCTCCGAATCTTTGTTTTACAAAAAGATGCATGGATGATGTGACTTAGCAGAAGCAATGTCAAGAAACTTTGTTTATTAACCCTAAATAAGTTAATTCAACAGTAAAAATGCTTAGAATAAAAGCACATATTGATTTCATTAGGAGAGACATGGAGAGTAGCATAAGGGAGATAATGGGTCCTCTTTGTTCTGTTACCCAGCCTTAAACTGGAGTATTGATACATGTGGGAGCCCACAGTTTGAAAAGGATCCAGATGTATTGGTGTATGTCCAGCAGTAGTGGCCAGGATGAAGAGAGACCTAGAAACATCGGTGTGTAAAATAGCTGAGGGGCTCAAGGAGTTGCTGAGGAGAAGAGCAGATACATGGAAAGTATGATTGGAGTAGTCAGACTTGAAGGGCTCAAGGCAGAGGAGTTGGTTGTGTTCTATCTGGCCCTGGAGAGCAGAACTGGAACCACAGGGGAAAGCTACAGAAGACAGATTCAGCTCCGTGTAGCAAACAACTTGTCCAAGATGAAAAGTCTTCCTTATAATAAATGAGTCGTCCATATCTGTAGGTATGCAAACAGAATCTGCATCAGAAATACGAAGGAAGAGAAAGGAAAAGACAGAAGGGAGAACAGGAGAGTGAGACAAACAGAGAAAGAGAGAAAGGAATAAAAAAGAGATGCAGGGGCCGAAGACAGGAAGAGAAAAGGTGAAGCAGAAGAAACATTTCTAGAGTACACAGTAAGTTGCTGCAAACACACTGTGGCATCTGAATTGCCTTTTCAGGTCTTCATTAGCGATATCTTGAAATGCCAGCAGATGGAGATATTACCCCAGGAAAAGAGGACTCTGCCTTCTCATTCCTTACTTTCAAAATATGTATCAAGTTTTCCTCTTTTGAAAAATGATGCTAAGAGACAACTCTGAATTTCCAAACCAAATTTATAAACAAATATTTGTCATAAATTCTGCTTGTGATTACCCTGATTCTGATTTAGAAGAGGTCACTATAGTTTTTTGCATTTTAGTCATTGAGTAGGGCTCCATCTTGCCCCACCCCACTATCTATACATGTATTTATGTGTATATGGTGTATATGTGTTTTGAATCATTGTTAAATAACTAAGCAACATAGGTATACCATAGTCCCCTTCTCAACCGCCCTGTCATTAACACTTCCCTTCCCCAGAGATGACTTCTGTCACTTTGAATTCTTGCCTGTGGTAATTCTGGGAGTTCACTCTCTAACCTAGCTATAAAGTAGCCAATTCTGAGGACTTTCACAGTGTTTGTCTGATTGGTGAAGATGTATCTTGAAAGGGAAACAGTCTTGTACAAGAGTACTTCCCAAACCTCAAGTGCACACAAATCACCTAGGGATCTTATTAAAGTACAGATTTTGATTCAGAAAATTTGATAAGGCTGGATTTCCGCACTGCTAATGACTTCCCAGGTGATGCCAATGCTGCTGGCCTGAGGACCACACTTTGAGTAGCAAGGTTGTATAATAAGTCTCTATCGGGGGGACCAGGACAATTCTCTCAGGAACTAAAACCGACTCCTTGCACCCAATGCTGTCTTATTTGTCACCTCTTAATTTTCATTTAACTGTTCATATTTTCATTCAACCAATCAACATATACAGAGAATCTGTTATGTGTAAACCCAATGCCGGTTAATTTTAACCAACATTAAGCATCTCGAGTTCCATTCCCTATGCTAGGCTCCTCGGATTAGTGAAGATTCAGAAAATAGCTTGATGGGGTTTCCCCTGGCCTAATCTGCAAAAATTTGAACAATGATAGTAGCATATTCTAATTAATTGAATAAAATAGGAATTCACAATTCCATACTGATGTAAATAAATAAATGAATAAAATAGAAGTGAGACAGGATTTTTACTTAATCTCTAAGTACCTACCCATAAAATACTTATTAATTATAAAGGGAAAACAATAACTTTACAGTGGTAAAGCCTGGTTGTTACCAGTTTAATTAAGTGATCAAAGTTAATATCATCAGTAACGGGACAAATTGAAATTGTCTGTCACCTGATAGGATACAATGAGAACAGCCTCATATCTGTGATATGATGCATAACCTGAAACTAATCACTTGGAAACATTAGACAGAGACTGAAGGACATTCTACAAAAAAAAAAAACAAAAAACTGACCTGTGATCTTTTCAATTGTCAAAGTTATGAAAGTCAAGGTAAGAGTAAAGAACTTCCAGGTTGAAAGAGACTAAAGAGCTATGACAACTAAAAGTGCACTATGATGATTATATGGTAGTAATGTATCAATATTAATTTCCTGATTTTAATGGCTGTATGTAGTTATCTAGGGAACGTCCCTGTCTGTAGGAAATACTGTAATTTCCAGGGGCGATGAGGCATCAGGTTGACAACTTACTTCGAACGATTCAGGGCAAAAAAAGAAGTTCTTTGCATTATACTTGCAATGTTCCTGTAAGTTTGAGATTGGGAAAAGCATGACAAGTGCTCAAAGGGGAGCTCAGGTGTTAGGGTTATGTGAAGCATCCTGGGTGAGTGTGGGGAGGGGATGAGTCTTAAAGGAGATTTGGAGAACACAGATGAGTCAACCCAAATTCTTGCCCTTCAACAGTACCCCCCTTTGACAGAGCAAAAGAGGCCCCTACCTGGATACATCCTTTAAGACCCTGCTTTGGCCTTCTTCCTGCTTTGATAACTCCCCATGTGGAGGGTGGGTTTAATCTGCAGGAACAATGGAACATGCCCATTATATCGGGCTCCCCACTTCTAGTCCACCAAAGAATCCTCTGCTCAAATGCTCTTGGGCCTGTTGAGCCTCTCCTCTGGTCCACCTTCCCAGGGTTGATTGGGACCACAGGTGTATTCACGCTTGGGCCCAATGATCATGGCTAGGAGCTGTTGGCAGCGTTGTGAACGAAGCTTGGACTTAAGGACTGTATATCCCCGTATGTCGGTGGAGGCCCTAGAGAGCAATTGCTCTCTAGAGCCAGCTGCCACATTTAGTTGGGGCTTAAAGAGTGCCTGTCAGAGAATTCTAAATTTGAACTTGGCCTTTCAGGTCTTAGTAAGATATATTTGTCACCGTAGGAGAGATAGATTACACTCTATCTAGTCCATGTGAGCAGGAAGAAATCTCCCACCAAACTGTTAAGCAAAAGCTTAAGACTTAGGAGCTTCGGACCCTGTCCCACATGAACCTTAATGCGCAGGCGGAGTTGTGGGCCAATCAAGTGGTGTGCTCTGAAGGAAGTCAAATGATGAGGCGGGGCACGGTGTGTAGACCACGCCTCTTTGAGCGGAGGGGCGAGGCGAAGAGTGGGCGAGGTTGGCGCTCTCAGCGTTCAGGGCAAGGGCGCAGAGCGGGAGGTGTCTTTGGGGGCGGAGCCACGCGGCTGGGCGCGCGCGGGGCGGTGCCGTGAGGCCACGCCTTTTCCTGCCCGCTGCGCTGCTTCCGCGTGGGACCAACGCGCAGGTGGCTGAGACTGTGTTAACTCGTGGGCTTGGCCGGAGAAGCGAGATGGCGGAGGAGGTGTTGCCGAGTGCGAAGTGGCTGTACTGTGGAGAACCGGACGAGAGCCAGAGAGCTGTACTGGGTAAAGATTGCGGAGCTGGAGCAGTTCCCCATAACTCCCACTTCTATCTCGGAACCGTTACAGTCCTCTCGCCTCCCCGCCGGACCCTATTCCCAGCAGGGCCCAAATTCCCCCCCCGCCCCGCCTCCCTGCGCCCCGCCGCCAGTGTCTACCACTACTTAGGACTCGTCCAGGGCTTCTCTGTCATCCCACCATCTTTCTGTCACCATCTCACACCAGATGAGGACATCTCTGTCACTCTCTCCCTAAGACTATCCAGTATACTGTCATCCCCTCACTCACCAGGTTTTAGACTTGCTGCATTTTTTTTCTCTCCACGGGACAGGTATTTTCGCTCTCTCTAGGTCTGGATGAGGCCTCCTCAGTCGGTCCATTCCCCTAGTTATTCCTTCCTGTCGCAGCCCCACCCCAGGACTTCCTTCACTTCCCCGTCCCCTGTTCCCAGCTGGACCAGGACCTCCTTCATTCCCACTTCAAGTCAGGACCTGGGCTTCCTTGCCATTCTCATTCCTTCAGTCACTCCCTCCCATTGACAGTCCACCTCATTCCTAACATACATGTGGGTTCTTCTGATGTCGTCTCATTCTTGGACTGTGATCTTACAGTCCAGTTCTCCAATGGGAAACTGCAGAATCCAGGCAACATTCGCTTTACCTTGTACAAGAGCAACGACTCGACAAACCCCAGGAAGAGGAGTCAGCGGATCCTGGTAAGTGCTGCAGTAGCCAGATGCTCCACTCTGCAGGCCTTGGGAGACCCATTGACTGGTGGATGTGGGAGGGAGTAAGAGAAGAAAAGGGAGAGATAGCAAATGAACGTTTGAAGGACTCTTCTGAGCTCCAGTAGGTTTGGGTGTAGGGACAGGCTGCATTCAGTTTCATACTTTGAAGTTATAGCCTTTTATTCATTTGTTTATACAACAGCATTTATTGAACATCCACTGTGGCTATGTGCTGTAAGCTGCTAGAGAAACAGCTAAATCAGGCCTGGCCGCACTCTGTGGGAGCTCATACTCTAGAGCAGGGTTTCTCAACCTTGGCACTATTGACATTTTGATCCAGATAACTCTTTGTTGTGGAGGCAGTCCTGTGCAGCATAGGATGTTACCAGCTTCTCTGGCTTCTACCCACTAGATACTGGTGGCACCTCCTAGTTGTGACAACCAGAACATCACACGTTCCCAGATGTCTCCAGAAGGGGGATTTCCTTGGGTTGAGAGCCACTGCTTTAGAGAGTTTTTTGAGCTTTTACCCAATCTCAAACTTAAAGAAAGATTGCAAGTACAGTGCAAAGAACTCTAGACAGGTGAGAGCTGGATGTGAGGGACACTCATACAAATAGACAAAACTCAGGGTCCGAGAGAGGGAGAGTACAAGGCAGAGTGGGTTTGGTCGAACTTTCTGCTTGCCAGAATGTTTTCTTGGGGAGGGCACAGGGAGCTGAGCTCTGAAGGATGGAGAATTTGGCAGCTGAGGTTTAGTATTCCACGTGAAGAGTATAGCGAGGACAAACATAGGGAAGTCGGAATCCTTGGCTATGGTTGAGGAGTGACTTAGCCATTTCCATGTGCAGGTAGGCATATGAGGAACAGCCATGGGAGAGATGGGCAAAGAGGTTCAAGAAGGGCTTGGACTTTGGATCCAGACGGTTGCCTGCAGAATCATTTTTTTATATGCCTTTAAATGTGGAGGAGCCCAGGGTCTCCCAAGTTCTGTGATGCAGTTTCCACAGGAACTTTTCAGACCAGCTAGAAGTCAGCACGATCTGGGGCTTCTCTCTCAAAAGACCTCTTGCCTTTTCCCCAGGGGCATCTTAGATTCACCTAGTGGGGCTGCATCTTCTCTCAGAGGCTCTCTAATTCTAATCAGTGGTTTGGATTCTAAAGCTTTTTGCAAATGTGGAAGAGGGAAACAATATGCTTAATACCTTAAAGCATATAGGTTTCAAGTGTACAATTCAGTAATATATCGTATGTATAATGCATTGTGTTTGCCGCCCAAAGTTAAAATTCCTTCCGTCACCATATATTTGACCCCCTTTTACTCTTATCTACCCCCTCTCCCCTTTCCACCTAGATTCTGACATTGTACCTTCTTCATTCACATGACAGTATTCCCACAATAGGTTTTGCGAAATATTGTTGTAACACTCGAAAATGCTTTAATTTACTTTACAATTACAGTTGACATACAATATCATATTAGTTTCAGGTATACAACATAATGATTAGATATACGTATAATGAAATGGTCACCAAAATAAATCTAGTTAACATCCATCACCGCACATAGTTATACAAATTTTTTTCTTGTGGTAAGAACTTTTAAGATTTACTCTTAGCAACTTTCAAATATATAATACAATGTTGTTAACTATAGTCACCATGCTATACATTATATCCCTAGGACTTATTTATAACTGTCTTATTTCCAAAAAGCAGCTCTCTTCACTAATATGTATAATCAGGAGGCCAAAGCTTGCAAGAACTTTGCTTTGGGACTGACTGCAAGAAAGGCATTTGGTAGTGTCAAAGGATCCAGTGTTTCTATCCAGTTCTGCTGCTGATTGACTGTCTGACTTTGAGCAGTTTTGCCCTTCACTGACCCCCAGTCGATTGCCCAGCCTAAACAGACTATAACTTTCAAGGGCTGGCATAATGCAGTATCCCTGTGATGGTATCCAATAGTGAACCCCTCTGGACCACCCTGATAGAAATCAGATTCATGAATATATGCTTAAAACCATTAATACCGTATTATCCCTTTACAAAGATTCTCTAGTTCAGACTGGTCTTATCCCCATAATTACCAAGGTTTTACTTGTCTTTGCCTCCATAAAATTTACATGTGCAGTAAATTCTAGTATAATTCTAGATTCTAACAACTCAAAAGAGTTTCTCACTATAGCAGTGAACCCAAATGTGGTCACCTATTAAAATCACCTGTAGCTTTTTTTTTTCCCCCAGAACCCCTCTTCCCGCCTTTTTCTCCCCAGCTATAGAGGATCGTTACTCCTGAGCAGGTGATGCATTCCTCAGGTGTATTGAGACAGAAAGGTTGAGAACTTTTAGGCAAAAGAATGAAGTTGCAAAATAATACTTTTTGAATAATCCATTGTCACTGGTATTATTCCTTCTTTGTTCAGGCACTTTGTGGGAATTTTGAACAAGACCTCTGGCCAAATGGAAGTATATGATGCTGAATTGTTTAACATGCAGCCACTGTTTTCAGGTAAGCCCCAGTCTAGATTCACAGAAATGCTGCATATTTTAGGTTTGCTGGATGAATTGGTTTGAATTTTTGATTTGTAAAATACATTTTGTAGTTATTTTTAAAAGAGTGCCTTTCTGCCAAGTTTGTTAAATAAGTTTTAAGAGTATTTTTACTCAGCACATATTTATTGAGGACCTATATACTTTAGGCACAAATTAGGGGCTGTGAATGTAGCAAAACAGACACAGATCCTATCCTCACAGTGTTTACAGTCTTGCGATCAGAAACTAATCTTAGTTAAAGCAAGTTGAGTAATGATCAGAGCAGAATATTGGAGGGCATGTCTGGTACTCTTTTCCATTGAAGGCTTTTGTTAATTTTTAACTATTCTAGGTGGGGCAGAGGTTTTAGAATCTCTGGTAGGTGCTGGAAGTTGCTTATATGTTGGATAGTAACTTTCATGTTGATGAAAAGTCTATGCTTCCTAATTTGGGAGGAGATCCTTTTTTTTTTTTTCCTTAAGCAGTGGGAGAAATTGCATTGTTTCTCTGCTTTGGCATCTTAGCCATGATGCTTAGCCATCATGCCCATGGCTAGAGTGAGATCTCCCGAAATGATAGATGAGAGGGTCAGACTCAAGGGGCTCCCTAAATCTTGAATACTGAGAACCATAGTGGGGAGCATGTTTGATAAGGAGGGATCTTTAGGATTATGGTGAGTCTGCCTAGTGTTAGTTCTAACTTTTTTCTCTCAAAGCAGTGGTCCCAACCCTTTTTAATCTGATAAAGATTAAATTATCTCCCAAATGCCCTTCTAACTTTAAAAGAGGCAAAAAAAATTGTCATTGATTTCCTAATTAAACAAATTTTTGTTTTAACATGTAAAAAAAAAAAATTGTAAATATTGGTTTATTCTATCTAGCAGATTGACCTGGGGCAAGTCATTTCATCTGGAGGCCTTAGTTTTCCTTATTTGTAAAATGAAGAGGTTCGACTAGATGGCCCCTTTGTTTGACTCCTTAATTCTTTGAATTCTCTAAGTGTTTAGTATGTGAACATACTAAATGTTCACAGTATACACTCATGTTAAGCGCTGGGAAGTCCTGGAGTGAAGTTTCTTGAACACTATTACTATCCGTAGGCCTTACAGTTTGCTTTTTCCTGTTTTTGTTTGTGTTTTGATAGATGATTCAGTTGAGAGTGAATCATCATTAGAGAGTCAAGTCAAAACTTTTAGAGAGAAGGTAAGTGTGATGGAACTAAGACATGGGACCGTAAGTAAGTTCCTTCTAGGCCTGGGTTTCTCCATCAGTAAAATGAGCTGATTGAACACAGCGGTCTCCCTGGTTGCTCCTAGCTCATTCATTTGTGGTTGTCTGGATAGTTTCTACCTGCAGTGGCCTCCTTGGCTTCATAGAGAACAGTTTTCATGTCTAGGGCAGGTACACACAGCTCTGTGCCGGTGTTTTGAACTGGTTCTCTAGGCTGATCTAGGTGTAGCATAACTCATTTTTAAGATTTAATACAGATTTCAGAGAATATAGGTTGTAGCCTGGAACTTTTCATATTAAAACAAAGTAAACTTTAGATTTTCAATGTAGAAGGTTCCTACAAAGCTAATCTCATCCCAGGATGGCAAATCTTCATTGCTGCCTGGAGAGCTTTATTGAAAAGGGGTGTGAGGCTATCTTCAAACTCAGAGAGGGTGTAGGGTTGGAAAATGGTAAGCTGTGTGCCAAAGGTTTACGGACCATAATTCGAGTCAAGTTTTTACATCTTCTAGGTAGAGACACTGTTGATTTGTAAATAGTCCATTATAGCTTACAAAGGAAGTTTTTCAGATCTGTTAGTATCATTTGGTTCTTACAATAAGCCCCTGAGGTAGATAACTATGATTCAGCCCAATTTACAAGTGAGGTTATGGTGGCTCAGAGAGACTGAGAGTTTCCCCATAGTCACACAGCTAGGAGTGGCCATGTCCAGCCTGTCCTTAGTAATCAGGTTTGTCTCTTGTACAGATGGATTCTTGCATTGAAGCCTTTGGTACCACCAAACAGAAGCGGGCTCTGAACTCCAGGAGAATGAACAAAGTTGGCAGTGAATCTTTGAATCATGCAGTAGCTAAAGCTGCAGAGAATATTATTGATACAAAGGGTGTGACTGGTAAGCAGCTGAAACTTGGGGTAAGAATCCACTCAAAGAGACAGCTTTCTCTTGAGATCTTTCACCCATCCCACAAATGGAAGTGGTGGGAGTTAGGGCTGGATTCCTTCCTGCTTCTCTCTGAGGGCCTTTGCAGAAACAGACTCTGGAAGTAGTAAGAAACACCTGACATGACCTGCCCTAAGAGAGCACAAAGTTAGGTAGAGGAGACAGGCATGGGAACGGATATGTGCGAGCTGTGTCCTAGGTGCCAGAGTTACAGCCTGCAGGGCACAGAGGAGGGAGGGAGAAGGCTTCAAGTCTCTTTGAGTCACAGGGAAGGTTTGGTCAAAAAGCCTGATGTGATGATGATGAACTGAGCCTCTTGAGACAGTGTTTCACTTTGGGGTCAGTAGATCTTTTTCTGCTCCTAAATTTCTCAGCAGCTTGAGTATGTAAGTGTATTATTTTAAAATGTATTTATTGTTTAAATGTATTATAAGAACATAAGAGAAAGTTTATATAAGCAGTTTTTCTATTAAAATGGAAGTTTAGTAATTTTTAGAAAGTCTTTCCATACCCTATGATAATATATTTTCTTGTGTTTTCTTTCTATACTTTTCTAATTTTATTTTTACATCTAAATCTTAATTAAGAATTTTTTTGGTAGATGGTACAGACCTGGTTTTATGTTTTCCAAATGATTAGCCAGTTGTCCCCAATTCCTTCCTTTCCTTTTCTAAAAGATGATTTAAGAAGTCATGTTTATCATTTTACCACATTCTTAGTTGTGTTCTGGTCCATTGTTCTGACCGGTTATTCCTATGGCAACACTAGGCTCTTTTGGTTATAGTAGCCTCATCATCCAGTTTATTGTCTGACAGGGAAAATCCTTCTTCCTCTTTCGTTCTTATTTTTCACACATGTTAGTGTAGCATGCTTTTTATTCCAGGTGCTCTTAAAAATTATTTTGTCAGATTCCCTCAGAATCCAGCTGGGATTAATATGGAGAGAATCAACATCTTTACAATATTATATTTTTCCATCTGGGAACATAGAAATATGTCTCTCCATTTATTCAAAGATATCCTTTAATGTCTAAGTAAAATTTTTAATTTTTTTTGTTCGGCTCTTAGAGGATATATAAAAAGAAAAGTAATTCACCCATTTCCCCATCATTCTACCAGACCAGCAATTATAATTTTCCTGTTTTCCCCTATATTCTTGTCTGTATGCATACTTAATTCTTACATGGTTATTCCTGTATATAGTTAGTTTTATAATATTTTTTTCACTCATATAATATGTGGAGAAATTTTCTGGAAGTTAAGCCATTGGAGGCTACTTTGAATATCCCTCACTTGTAGTTTCTCTCATGTATTATAAATATTTATTAGCATATCTGTCTCTCCCACCTATACTTCGAGTTACTTGAGGGGAGACCACACTGGATCCGCCTTCTGGGGTTCCTGGTTAGGTGTGAGTCATCAGCGGACATCGTAGCGCTGGAACTGTCAGCCTGATGGGGGGTCAGGCCATAGTGGTGGGAGCATTCAGATTAGGGGTTCCTGGACTGTTTTTGATCTTGAGTGCACAGGTTGCAAGGAGTGTTGGGGAACCTGAAGCCAAACAGGCTGATACCCACATCGACTCTTCTTTCATTGCAAAGCTCTGGTCAGTGATGCCATCCATGATGACTTGCAAGATGACTCCCTCTTCCTTCCTCCCTGCCATGCTGATGCAGCCAAGCCCGAAGATGTGTATGAATTTGAAGACCGTATCCTTCTCAAAGTCTAGGACAGACTGATTTTGTAAAAGGAATGGTTAGAGCACAGAATTTCCCTACTCATAGGTCTAATCTGATGGAAAATGCCTGTAGTAGGTGTGTGATAAGAAAGAGAAGCTGGAAAAGCCCAAGCAGAGAATGAGGTCTGGGCTGGGAGTCTGGAGAACTGAGGCCCCAAGCTCCGCCCTGAAGTGCCGTATGATCTTCCCCTCTCTGAGCTGTAGCTTTCCCGTCACTAAAATGAGGCCCCCCACTAAAAATGAGGCCGCTGGGAGCAGATGATCCAGCCAGCTGAATATTTCCATTTTGGTCATGCTGAGTTCTTGACAAGTAACTAGTTCTTTCTTCTGCGGAGTATGAAGCTCTTCAGAGTCCTTCTGAAGCTTTCAGGAATGTCACATCAGAAGAAATACTGAAGATGATTGAAGAGAACAGGTATCCTCACTTGGGCAGATGGAGTGTCTGGGGAGTGATGTCGGGACACAGCAGTAGTCAGTCAGTGAGTGTCAAAGTCTATTCATCATTGAACGTGAATGAATCAGTGTTTTCTTGAATATTTGGGCTTCACAGCCTTTTACTCCAAAACTGTGGGTGGCATTCAAGGAAGAGAGTTGGCCTGAGCACATGTAACCTGTGGCTGGGCAGAGGGTGGTGAGGCCTTATAGTTGGGCTGGGAACTAGAGATGGCCTATATTCCTGAATGTTATACTTGACGCCGATTGTCACTGTGGGGCCCAAGGGCTGACTTGAGAGCAGATGCCAGCTGAAGTGATAATTTATCTGTGATAATGTGCTGGGTGAGCTTTTCTAAAGTAAAATTTATGTATTTTTTATGACGTTAGTGGGGTTTTTTGTTTTTGTTTTTTTTTTTGCTTTTGAGTTTTTTGTTTTGTTTTTTAAATAATTCCATCTTGAGAAAATAAAAAGTTATCAACCCTAGGTTGGTTCCCTGATTTTTGTTTGGAAATTTTACTGGTCAGTGAAATCTAAAGCTCTGGAAAATATTTTTTTCCTCCAAAGATCCATTTCCAAAAAAAAATAAAGCTCATTGCTGGTCATTACTGGTTCTTAGTTGTCTTAATGTGGTTGTGGCTCAGGGGTAGGTACAGGCATGAGCTCTGGGCTGGGAGTCTAGAGAACTGAGTCCCTGAGCTCTGCAGGATAGACTGTGTGATCGTCCCCTCCCTGAGCCTTAGGCTTCCTGTCTGTGAAATGAAGCTACTACAAGATGATCTTGAAGACCCTTTATATCTCTGTGAGTCCAGGATCCTGATAGTGTTAGAACAGTACATAAAAATAATAGCTAACGTTGATGGAGCTCTTATAGGTGCCAAGCACTGTTCTAAGCAGTTTACTTTCATTGTCTTTTTTAATCCACAAAACCCTGTGAGGAGGGTACTATCATTGGTCTCAATTTATAGGTAAAGAGGATGCACAGAGATGTACAGAAGCTGTACAGAAACTTGTCCAAGCCACTAAAAGGTAGAGAGCGGATTCAAACCCAGGCAGTCTGACTTGAGAGACTATGCTCCAAACCACTATATCAAGATTTGGCAAACTGTGGCCTGTATGCTAAGTCTGGTGTGCTGCCTGTGGATAAAGTTTTATTGGAACACAGCCATGGTCATTCATTTTTGTATTATCAGTAGCTGCTTTTGCACTACAATGGCAGATTTGAGTAGTTGCAACAGAGACAGTGTGGACCACAAAGCCAAAAATATTTACTAGCTCCTTACCGCTCCTGCATTAAACCAAGCTCCTCCTGTTGTGAGGATCATTGGTGGGGGGCCCTTCCTCAGCTGTCGAATATGTATCTGGTGTGCAGGATGCCTGATGATCTAATTGTGAGGGGGTGAATGGCTCCTGTCAGATCTGGTCTTACCTGACACATTCTTCCCTTTCCCTCCCTTGTTTTAGCCACTGCTCCTTTGTCATAGAAGCGTTGAAGTCTTTGCCATCAAACGAGGAGAGCCGAGACCACCAGGCCCGATGTATATGGTTTCTGGACACACTCATCAGATTTCGAGCACAGAAAGTGATTAAGCGGAAAAGTGAGTTCATGATAGACATTTTATTCTGGTTATTTCCAGTCCATTATTTGTCTGTAATGAGACCAGCCCTAATGAGAGAAGAAAATGGGTCTGTCTGTTTGGGTCTTTATTTTTAATTGTGTGACAGTCAGGTTCCTATTGGTACTGCTGGCACGCTGAGAGGACTTGCCAAGTTCTTTCCTCATCTGCAGGACGGGTTGGATTATGTGCTTGTTCAGAGCTAACATTCACTTCTTTTCTGCATTATGCAAAGTGTAGTATCCAAATTAAATGAAAATTTTAGACAACCTGTTAGACAAACATCAGTCATAGAGGGAGAAAAGTTGTCCTTGCTCATGAAGGCTTCTGACAGGTTTGTGTTATGTCAGCTTATTTCTGATTGGGAGAGGAGAGAGTCAGTTTCTGCTGGTAACCCCGGTGTCATCTGTAGCTCGGGCCATGGATGGCTGCCACATACATCTATCCAGAGTTGGAAAGCCGGTGGAGATGCCTGTGGTTCTAGGCAAAATGTGTATACAGTCTTCTGACTATCATTGGACACCCAAGAATCTGCATGTTTTTCAGTACTTGCTTAATTCTTATTTTCACATTCCAATCTCCTCTCCTTTCTCTCTCCCTCAGCTTTCTCCACAGTCTATTTTGCTTTCTAACATCTTAGGAATTGTGTCTTCAGGCCTCATATTTTTTTTCTTATTGCCAACCCATCGTAAATGTTTCTCATACAATTTCATTTGAAATAAGCACATTTTCATTTGAAAGTGGCCATGCTATTTCATGGGCCCCTGCTTCTCTTACCACATGGTTCTGTTCATAACAGTGGCCCAACTGCTGGCCTCTTCTCCCAGCTCATGGATGACATGTGGCCTAGGATTTTGATGGAAAATGATCAAACTCAACTTTATATTGTAGGTGCTCTGGGACCTGGAGTTCCACACATCATCAACACCAAACTGCTGAAGCACTTTACCTGTTTGACCTACAACAATGGCAGGTCAGGGGATGATTTCTTTGTTTTCTGCCTATAAAGGAGAAAGCAGATTGGGGAGGGGGAGGTGGGTGATAAGAGCGAGGAGTAGGGGCTTGGCTTGAATGTCATGTCCATAGAGATACTGTGAGGGGTCCCGAGGTCAAGTAAGTTTAGGAAACACTATATAGCACATACTCTATCCTCCTGGGAGAAGTTCACTTTAAAGATTTTGGAAAGTCCTGCAACAAATTTCACTTCACACATTTCTTTTGAGGAACCGTTCCCAATGTCTCACAGAGCTGGTGTTCTATGGAAAGGCAGTATTGCAGGGAAGGGTGGGCCTCTGTAATGGTGCTGGGGAAAGAACCCTAAGCAGTGCACCTGGGCTCCCCTCCTGCTGTTTGCTTGGAATGTGTGTCTTGCTCAGAGTGTGCTTGGAAGAACCGTCGGCAACAGTGTGGGGTGACTGCTTTCCGGCAGCTCCGCTGAACAGGTGGGGACAGACTCAAGGGTCCTTGCCAGTGCAAGGCTCTCACGATGCCTGAGGAAACTGTAGGTGTGGCCTTTTCTGTCCCCCTTGGAGGGAGCAGTGTGTTTGGCTCACTGTCTACTCTGTGAAGGCTTGGGTACCTTGCAGGACAAGGAATGTTGCTCAGATTTCTTTTCCTCACCCCAAGAGCAGAAGACATTGAGTACCTATGGGGTCAGGCTTGGATGTTTTTATTTTGCTTTTGGAGAAGTCATCTTAGAATTTAATTTTGCCTCCTTTACTGCCACTGTTTTTGTAGTTTACGGAACATAATTTCCAATTCTATGAAGGCGAAGATCACCGCATATGTGATCATACTCGCCTTGCACATAAACGACTTCCAGATTGACCTGACGGTGTTACAGAGGGACTTGAAGCTCAGTGAGAAAAGGTGAGCACAACAGAACAGAAAACTCCCTTACGGTGCCTTGAGGTTTATCTGGTACCACTGGAAAGCATGAGACTCCTTTGAAGGAACTGGGGGCATTTAATATGGGCTAGACTTGGGACCAGAGGACAGTTGTCAATGAATGAATGAGTGGATGAGCAACCAGACATTATAGAGTGCCTTCTTTATGCCAGGAACAGTACTAAATCTGTGATAAGAGCTCACTGATTTCCTTAAAAAACAACTAATGAATCTACATTTCAGAGAAGTCACTGACTTCCCAAGGTCGCACAACCAAGAAGAGGAATAGCTGGACTTTAAATCTGAGCCTTCGCATAGCATTCTGTCCCTGTGAAACCAAGCAGCTTCCATTCTCCAAATTTCTTCTAAGGAGGGGGATTCTGTATGGTCCAGGGGTGGAAGTTATAAGAACCAATTTCAGCTTAGCAAAAAGACCTTTCTCAGCATCAGATGTTAGGGACTGTAAGGGTTGGCAAGGTGGGGCCGCTATTTGGCATGGATGTCGCATTGAGGCTTCTCTGACTGGAGTGGGAGAGTTGGCAGATACGACCTTTCAGGCCCTTTCTAGCCTTGCTAGAAGGGATTCAGACTGAGTAGGGGGCAGAACTTTCCAGGATCCTGAACTGTGGGGTTTGTTGGCTTTTGTTAGTGATTCAGGGGCATCTGACACCCAAGGACCCTAATGGTGTTCAAGAGAGCCTATGAAAATACCTGGTCTGGACTTTTCTAGCAGTCCACAGAGAGATTATTCCGAGGGCTGCCCACAAACAGCGTTCTCACAGGTGGTGACATTGAAAATCAAAAACAAATACTTGGAGCCTGTTTTAGCAATCTGCGAGCAAGTGCTCAATCCTGGTCATAGGAAATAAAGTTACTAATAGGATCTAGAGAGAAAACCTGGTTTTCAATTACCTATAAGGATATTTTCTAATGGCAACATATTAAAATGAAATTGTCTGATAGCTCTTGCGGGGGCAGGTCTTGCCTGCCTCTCTCCTGGTGGCCACTGTGGGGATTCTGTCTCCGCGGCTTGGAGCACGAGTGTGCTGCTCCCTCCTGCCAACCTTCCCTAAGCAGTGGCATTGAGGAGACTCTCCATTTGTTTTGTGTGTTTGTTCCTTAGGATGATTGAGATAGCGAAGGCCATGAGACTGAAGATCTCTAAAAGAAGTGTGTCTCTGGCAGCCGGCACGGAGGAGGAGCACAAACTGGGCACTCTGTGCATCCCGCTGCCTCCAGCCCAGACCTTGGACCGCCAGTCAAAGCGGAGGAGAATCACCTAGAGGTGTGCTTTCCAGACAGCATTTTGGCTGTGCGATAGCCACTACTATTCATTTCCGTTTTTATTTTTAAAAGGAGAGGAAAAGAGGGCTTGCTTTGGCATGGATATGAAGCCAGAAGCGGGCATTCAGTCGTGCTTGTCTTAAGCAGAAACATAAAGTGACCACCGTATTGGACTTCACCTCCCTCCTTCGGCGTTGCTGTGATTATAAATGGCAGATGGTTCTCATGTCGGTTCACGTGTGGTGATGTGGAAGGTGGGGCCTGAGAAGTCAGAGTCAAAAGATCTTACAGACTGAACCCTGGGCCAGATCTAATGGATGAAGGTTAATAAAGAGAAATGTGAAGTGCCATGCTTACGTCCAGAAGGGCCAGTGGGGTACATGGTGAGGAGGATACAGCCCAGGAGGGCTAGAAGAGAGGCTTCAGGTCACCAGTGTGATGGGGTTGCCAAAACAGGCCGATTGAGTTTGAGGCTGCTGTAACAGGGTGGAGCTCTTACCATACTGAGAGGAAGTGATTATCACAGTTGCTCTGCTTGGTTCAGGCCACAAAGAGGGCAGAGGTCAGCTCTGAAGCTGTAGTTCTGAGGGGGTTGAATCAGAGTCGAGTACAGAAAACAAATTGTTCCAGATATCTTAAGATGAAAGGTGTTTAATACATAGGTGACATGCTATCAAGTTGTTAAAGGCCTGTAAGAGTGGGAATCAGGAGGTTGCCACCAGAACTGCTCAGTTCAGGAACACACTGCTGGGCATCAAGAAGCCACTTCTGCCCCACAACTGCTTGAATTCATCAAGCTGGTGACTCGACACCGGAATGCTGAGTTCAGCCACCCGTGCTTTCAATACCTACATTTCCACCCCCTTGATTATCAACACTAACAGCCAAGAAGCTAGCCTCCATCTTGCCTCTTGTGAATATATAAGTAGGAGCCTAATTTGCATCTAGAATTATAAGAACAAGGGAGTCTTGGAGATAGGTTTTAGCTCTCCAGCACCTAGTTACAGGAAGGCACACCTGAAGGAGATGGGAATGGATGCTGGCTGCCAACCAACTTTATCTGCCACAGGGGAGATGGTGAAGTCAGTGTCCAGAAGGGTGTTACGAGGAATGGGAATATGACATGGAGAGACTTCAGTACAGGGCTAATACTCAGACTCAGATCTTTAAAGCTTTTCTAGGAGCAGCTGAGGTCTGTAGTGCTCAGTGCTGGGGAGCGAGGAGCAGTGAAGGAAGGAAGGTAGAATTCAGCTCTGAAAATTGGAAAGGAGGTTTACGTAGTAGCTGGGCCATCTGTTAGGGAAGACATGGTGGAAACGAGTCTGGGATGACTCATTTGGGACAGGTGGTCCTTGTATTTCTTTGAGTTCCGGGATGTTGTTATCAGAGCCACTTCTGGGGTGAGGCTGTGCTAAGTCATATTTCCATGCTCTTCTCTGGTTTGTCTCATTTGTCTCTGGTTCTGGCTGGTGGGCATTTGTAGCATACTTGTCTCCCTCCAGCAGAGGCATGAGCAGGAAATCTAAATACCTTTTGTTTTTCCTTATCTAAGCTGTTGTGAAAATCAAGTATGTGACTCTGCATCAGAAAAAAGTATCCTGATCTGTTTCTGGGAAAAGAATTCCTAATGTGTTTATAGAGTAGAATGTGTTTTCATGAATGCTTTTTAGATTCTGATGGGTTTGACACTCTGAGGCTTAATTTTCAGGAATGATTGGATCACAGCATGTGAGCAGGCCTCTGAACAACTTCTGTCTGTGGGGAAGCAGTCTATCTTCAGTCACAGAGGGGTGGTATTAATAGGGAAAAGTCTAGAATGACAAGTAACTACTTGTCCTGTGTGACAACAAGTGTACCTACCTCACTAAATGTAGATGATACATTCCCAGAGATTGACTTAAAAGCACATTTCTGTACTTAAGAGGTTTGTGGGTCAAAAGGCTCAAAAGAGGGCCCTTGTTCACAAGAACAAGTCTCGTGAGAGCAGCTAATGCAGTGCCTGACATATCAGCAGTCAGTGTCTGTTGAAAGTCATAATATGTGAACTGCACCTTCTTTCCATGGCAGGGCCACTAGGCAGTAAACACTTGTAGAGTAATGGAATTGGACTTGGTTTTTCCTAGCTCTTACAAACCATTTATTTACTAATACATTCACAGTACATACGTCGATCTCACCAAGTTATTTGCTATAATGTCTCCTGATGTACTCTTTGAAGAAAGGTCGAGACTGGGCTACATGCTGGTACCCTTAATAAGATTTGCAGTTTACGGACTAAATTTATGGGTAGTGATGAACAGAATGAAGTCTGTTCCCCTGGAGGGAAGTCTCTGCCTGTGGCCTTGACCTGTTGGACATTGTTAACAGCGATGAGGTCAAAGAAGGTATATTTGGCAAAGTTGGAGAGGACCCCAAACTGAAAATAACTAGACAAAATTCTTTAAAGTGTCTCCTCTTAAAAACTTTTTTTGATATGTCATATTTAGGAAATAGTTGCAAGAATAGTACAAAGAACTCCTGTATTTCTTTTACTCAGAATCTGCCCAACTGTTATTGCATTGTCCCATTTATTACAAGTACTTCACTGTTTATGTCTGAAGAATAGGACTTTTTCTTCTCTAACCATAGTACATTTATCAAAGGCAAGAAATAGAACAATGATACAATACTATCACCTAGCCCACAATTCATATTCATATTTTGCCAGTCACACCTCTTCGTTCTTGTTTAATCTAAAATAATTCCTTGGCCTTTGACTTTCTTCACCTCGACATTTTTGAAGAGTAAGGTCAGTTATTTTGTAGGGTGTCCCTCAGTTTGGGTTTGTCTGGTGTTTCATTATGATTAGGTTCAGGATATGTTTTTGTCAGGAATATCACGGACATGCTGTGTCCCAGGTGCATCACAGTAGAAGCACATGAAGTTTGTCCTCTTCTTGCTGATGTTTCTTTATTACTTGGTTAAGGTTGTGTTCTTTTCACTATGAAGTTGCTATTTACAATAAGTAATTTGTGGAGGGATTCTTTGAGACTCTAAATATCCTTTCCTCATCAAACTTTCACTCATGAGTTTTCACCTCAATTGATCATTTTTGCTGAATCAATTACCAAGATGCAACATGGTGATTTTCTAACTCCATCATTTCTTATACAATTATTGTATTATAAGAGGATACCTTCTTTTCTCTCCCATTAATTTTTGATTGGGGGGGGTCATTTAGTTATCAGTATAGGCTCATAGATTCTTATTTTATTCCATGAATATTGTACTATCATTTATTTTGATGATCAGATTGTACCACACTTGGCCAATCTGAGTTCCTTCAAGCTAGCTCCTGTATCCCTATCATTTTAAGGGTGCTTGCTTACTTTCTGGCACAAGATATTCCAGCCATCTTTTCTCCTGCTCCAGCCCTGGAATCAGCTTTTTATCCAATGAGCCCAGATGGACAACATGAATGATGGGACAAAACTAAGAAGTGAAATACTAATAATCAGATGGGATCTTCAGCTACACTCAGGCAAGACATAGGTTCTGAGGAGAGGTGTCAGTTGTGAGTCACTCAGACTGCACCAGGAAGGCCATGCTAGGCTTGACTTCGTTTAAAAAGGACACGAGTCACAGTGGATAGGCTCCAGAGCCCCATGGCCATAACTGCACCATCACTGTACCCTGCAAAGTTCTGGACGGGAAGGGCGAAAGAACTAATGGGATGAGCATGTTCACATAGAGAGAGATTGGAACAAGCCCAGCAGGCCCCATGGGAACCCAACAAGAGGAACCATTTAGAGAGAAGGCTTTCTTTGTTGTCAGAGGGAAGGAGAGGGAAGAAGGTAGGCCCAGGGCTGCAGCTGAGGACAGTATAGGCTCATGTACCAAGATCCAAATCTGGCTTTTTTCTGGTCTGGCCACACCACATCCGCCTTCCCCCAATACTGAGGACCTCCTCTGGACACCAGGGCAGTGGCCTCAACAGAACTTGGAGGCTGGATGAAGTTGTGTTGGTCTTTGTTGGCTTATACCCTCTCTCATCAGCAGGCATCAACATTTGGGCCTGACCGGCCAGCAAGGAAGGCCAAGGAGGCCACAATATAAGGTGCTTGGGTGGGGAGAAGTGGAGACCTCCTGTGAGCTCTGGCACCAGGGTTAAGCCTTCACCTGTGGCAACTCGCCCTATGAAGGGGCCCTTAGCTACTGCAGGCTGAAAGCAAGTGACCCCAAGGAAACAGGACCCTTAGAGAATTCCGTCTTCATATCCATAATTGATACAGTAAGAGCTGGGCCATACCTTCTGAGATGCAGGCCAGGACTCCTAAATTCTGCCTTTGGGCTCTCCCAGGCCCACTCAGACAACTGGAGTGGGTCTAGAGAAATGGCCAGGATGGTGAGGAGACGGTCTGCAAACTGGCATATATCAGGAACCCAGGAGCAGAGTGGATTACCAGGGAGATAATGATGCTGTCTGCAAATCTCTGGAGAGTCATCACAGACAGAAAGGAAGTGATATCTCCAGAAGGTAAAGACACTAGGAATGGGGTTGGGTTTTTCTTCCTTTGTCCATTATCCATCTATCCATGCATCAATACTTCCTGAGTCTTGCTGTGTGCTGGGCATAGAGAATCAACAGGGCATGACTTCACTGGGCATGGGGGGAGGTGGAAGAATGAGGCAAATCAGGAGACTTTTTCAAGACAGAATTCAGTGCTACTGTGGGAACCACAGGGTGGTGGTGGTATGAAAGCATGGAGAGGCACTTAACTGAGATTTGAAGAGACCAGGGAGGTTATTCCATGGGAGTGATGACAAAATAAGATCCTGAAGTATGGGTAGGATTTAGCCAGGGAGATAGATTTTAGCTCGGTTAAGAAAAAAATAATCAGATAGATCAGATGAACTAGATTCTCTTAGGCAGGTCTGGCCTGATTTGTGGGAAAGCAAGCCCTGCCCACTCAGTACAGTAGAGGCTCCTGCAGAGCAGTCTCTCTTCCCAGACTCTAACCCAACCATAGAAGAGCTAGGATGTGTGTTCTGTTCCTCCTACTTCTGCCTCCAAATGACCTGGAGATGGGCCTTGTGTGTCTCAGCTGTTCTTTTTTTTTTTTTTTGCTACCGAAGCCCTAGGTAACAGCCCTACACAGACCTCTCCTGCCTAAAAGCTCTTAACATTTGATACTAAACTCTAACCAAGCTCACCACCTAGGGCCTCAATTTCTTCTGTAAAAACTAGGGCAATGACCTCACCAAGGCAGTGTTTAATATACTATAAGATGGAACATAAGATGATATTAGTGACACAGGGATATATCAAAATACACAAAGTTATGCTGGTTAGGCTAAACTACAGTAACAAATTTCTCCCAAATGTCTGATTTCAACAAAAGTTTATTTGCTTGTGGTACTGTAATTATTTTCATTTAATAGTTTGCTTTAGTATCAGAAAACACTAGCTTTTCATTTATAGTAGTGATGTAAATAATTCTTTTTAGTTCAGCAAAGTTAAGTGTCCTGGATAGGATCCTAGAATGGAAAAAGGACATTAGGTAACAACTAAGGAAATCTGAATAAACTGTGGACTTTTAGTTCATAGTAACATGTCAGTGCTTGTTCATTAATATTCACAAAGGCAACACACTAATGTAAGATGCTGGTAGTAGGGAAACTCGGGGATGGGGCTGGGGAGGGTAGTATGGGAACTCTATCTGCTTTTTCTGTTCATCTAAAGCTCTTCTAGAAAATAGTCTATTAACAACAAAAGGATTTAAAGAAAAATATTAAGTACTAACTTTCTCCTCTGGTGACGTGGATATTGCAAAAGCTAAGATGCTGAGTAACTAAAGTTTGGAAAAATGTGTTTATGGATTGCAACCCCTTTGCAGACCATCAGGTCATCCACACCGGGGACTGTCACTGTTGATCTTCACAAAGCCCACAGTACAGTCCCTCACTGTTACAGAGACTCACACCTTGAAAACTGGAATCATGGTGGGAACAAGCTGAATGGACAAGATGGTTCTGGGATTCTGTGTCCTTCAGTGGTGCCTCGGGAACGTGAGCAGTGTGGGGCCTGCATCCAGCTGCCCAGGAACTCCAGCATATACCCAGACAAAGGAAAGTCTCCCAAAAGTACCTCTTTTAAAATATAGAACTTTATTTTAGTTTCTGAGATTTTCATAAGCACTTGGTTCACAAAAAGTCATTTCTTACAAAATAATAAAGGCGGCATTTTGTACAGCGAAGTGCAAAGGACAATGTGGGGATGGGAGGGGCCAGCGCTCTTGTGCCCAAAGCCCTCGAGAAGAAGCCAGTGTCCCTGGCTCCCTCTAGCCACCTGACTTGTAAGAGCAGCACCGAGGGCCTAGTGGAACCAGCCTGGGAAGCCATTGGTGAGGTGCACGACGGCAACCTCAACAGGCTGGTGAAGGCCCTGCATGAAAGGCCAAGCTGGAGCGGGTGTTCAGGCTGAATGGGTCCTGTGTCCAGCCCTCTTCCTCAAGGAGTCAGGGCAGGGCGTGAGCCCATGTGGCTCTGGAACCTTGACACGCTCACAGTACAGTTCAGTAAAGCCCTGTGGGAACTGGCTTTCCTTTCCTCACTCAGGCTACTGACCTTACTTCAGGCCTGGGCTGCATACTAGGAACACAGACAGTGAGACCTGGTCTTAGGCAGGTGAGTGGGACAGGGATGGACCTGGATAACTCCAAGGCAGAAAGTGCTCAGTACCCAAGGTGGGCAGAGAAAGGGCAGGGGAGGGTCAGAGGGGGAAGAGCATTGTCATCCGCAGGGAGATGAGTGCTCTGTGGAGATGGCAGGGTCTGAGCTACACCTTGAAGAATGGGTAGAACCTGGGCATGGGCAGTTAGAAGGGCATGCCAGGAAGAGGGGAGAGCATGAGCCAAGGCACAGTGGAAACCATGGAGGGTCAGTAAAGGCAGGTGGTTATCCATGAGAACATGGATACAGACGAGGGGCCTTAGGCACCTCCATCTCCACCAGTCTGGTGCTCGGAGCGGGGGCAGCTGGTGTGGGTATGCTTGTGGGATCTGAATCCTCCTTGTGTGGTAGGCACTGAGCTAACATCCTCCTGAGTGTGGGAGCTCCTTGAGGGTAGAGGGGAGTCGTGTGCATCCCCACACCATTCCTGGCACCTGAGCCACTTGAAGGAAACCTCCACGTGTCCCTCCGGTTTTTGGCATGTCCCTTGTCATCCCTAGGGCAGCTTTTTAAGAGGGGCTCCCTATCCCAAGCCCCTTCTTCCTTCAGAGGTTCATGTCTAAGAGAGCTATGTCCTTAATGAAACCAAACTCAGCTCTAGCCTCTGCAGGCAGGTGTCTCTGGAGAGACTGAGAGAGAGGTCTAGGAAAGAAAATTCTGGGGCAGCTGTCTTGACTTCCACCTCATTAGAATCATTTCCCTCTCTCAGGAGTAAATCTCTTCCCTGAGAAGAGTTTGGATTTGGTGTGTGCAAAACACAGCTCCCTGTAACTCAAAGAGAAAACCCTGCCCAAAGCTTCAGCATCAATTTTTCCCCAGCTCTTCATTATCTCTGCAAGAGCTTGAGTGACTGGAAACCCACCAATTTCTGTTCCTTTTTCTCTTTGAAAAACACTTCCAAGTTCCTTCCTACTGAAGACTGTAGAGCTGGAGGGTTTTAGAAGTACCTTGTTCTTAGTCCCCAGGAGCTCTAGGAGCCTGTTTGGTCAGGGCCGTGGTGAAGAGGAGGACCTGGAATCTTCTTAGGCACTGCTTCTTCCATCCTGAAGGCCTCGCCTCTTAGCTCTGCTGAGCACTGTCCGGGCTTGAGAGCAGGGTATGTGGTTGCTGCTCCGAGTCTTTGGACAGCGCTCCATTTGCCCCACTCTGTGACTCTCCATCCTTACAGGATGGTGCAGAAGATGCTACGGTTGCTGTGGTACCCACCTTCTACGTGGGCCGTAATCCTAGTTGCCATGGCTGTCACTTTCTGCCCACTATGGGCTGCAGAGGGGCCTCGGAGAGAGTTTTCAAGGTGAGGGCGTGCTGGTGGGTTCACCAGGCGCCATGTATCAGACCTGGAGGTGCAAAATAATAGTCAATGGACTCTGAGAGTCTACAGCATTTACTGAATGCCCTGCACAATCTTACCTTTGGCTGAAGCTCATTGGATCCAGGAGTTTAAATCTGCGTGTAGGTTCTTTCTCCCAAATTAGTGATAGCCCCAGGAGGTGGGATGTGTGAAGCTAAGGGGCAAAAGTCCTGCATTCTAATCTCAGCCATGCCTTCAGTTTTGCATGTAACCTTGGACAAGTTCCCTCCAGAAGCCTCAATTTCCCTGTCTTTATAAGGATCTAGATAAGATCAGTGGCTTTCTTTTTTTTTCATTATGACCATAAATGTTTATAGCTTTATTCATAATCATTCAAAACTAGAAATTACCTAACTACCCTTCAGCTGATGAATAAACAAACAGTGTACGGTACAACCATACAATGGAACACCACTCAGCAACAAAAAGGAACAACATGCGACACCACAGGCGAATCTCAGCTACATTAGGCTAAATGAAAGCAGACAGACTCAAAAGACTACATGCTGTATGATTTCTTTTATATGACATTCTGGAAGATGCAAATTTATAGGGGACAGAAGTTGGTAGGTTTCCAGTCTCTCGAGCTCTAGTGGAGATTATGAAGGGTTGGGGAAAATCAAACGATAATGAAGCTTTGCTCAGGGCTTTCTGTCCTTTGAGTTACAAGGAACTGCCTCTTAACACACACCAAATCTTAAATTGCTTAAACCAGCAACAATGTCTTCTGTGTATTTTTATGCTGATAGTATTACAGTGAGTAGGGCTGTAAAGGTGTAGATAAAGAGGCTGCTATGTAAGGAGTAAAAAGCCTGGAGGTATGTTCAAAGAATACCAAGCATTTGAATTTGGCAGCAGAGGAAGCTCCTGAAAAGGAGCGGTGAAAAGGAGAGGGCTGGAAAGGAAAATCAGGACCTGGCAGTGCACAGTGGACTATGCTATGCTGAGAGGCCTGGGCTGGGGTCTCCAAGTGGAAGGCAGGAAGCAGACCTCAGGAGTTCACAATATGATATGCTGAGATGTGGGAAGAAAATATTAGATTTTTTATTTTATACTTTGTAAGTTATGAATATATAAATATACATATATGAGGGGGTTTCCTCAAAAAACAGCTTTACTGAGAATGTGCATAATAAAAAAAAGAGATCATAACTATAGAAATGGGATCCATCAAAGTTTTTTTTTACTATGGACATGATATGACCACAGCTGATTTAGAAAGTTTATCTAGCAGGATGCTTAGGACAGCCTATAGGTGGGTGGAAGGTGCTAAGGGCAGGGAGATCGGGCAGGAGGCTGGGCAACAGGACAGTATTAACAGTGCAGGAGTGATACCAACAACAATAACAATAATAATTATTTTTATAACCAGTATGGCAAAGCACCAACCAATCAGAACAGAGTCCATCCATTAACAACTGGATCAGCTGTACTGATAATACGGGTCATAGGTCAGGGGGAAGGGTGCTGAGACCTGAACAAGGGTGGTGGCAGTTGGGGAGAGGAGGTGCCAGATACAAGAAGCAGAATCAAGAGGACCTGGTAACTGACTGATCTTTGGTGTTAGGAAGGAGGAGGAGGCAAAGGTTTTGCTGCCAGAACAGAGTGAATGGTGATGTCATTGAAAAGGGGAACAGGGAAGGACTAAGAGGTTCAGGGAAGATGAATATTAAGCAATTATGGTACACTGATGCAGAAGTACTAAAAAAAGTGACGATAGTGGCAGCAGCAAATAACATTTTTGTAGTATCTCAGATGTTCTGCTAAGTCACATGATCTTATTTTATCTTAAATGGGTGCTACAAAGCAGACATTATTAACTGGATTTTACTAAGGCTTAGAGATGTTGAGTAATTTGCCCAAGATCACATAGCCAGTGACTGGCAGAGGTGAGATTTGAAACCACATCCCTCTGACTCTTAAAGCTTGTTTCTTCCCAGGGAACGAGGTGCAGGTCCTCAGCCCAGGCCTGACACAAAGGCCAAGCACAGGCCTTTATCTGACCAGAGCTGAAAGCTAGGGAGCAAGGTGGCCATAAGGTGGTCACTGGGCCTTGCTTCTCTAGTAATCTTACTGTTTTAGAAGATTGGTTTAGGCAACCCCAGGCACTTACGTTTTCTTGAAGACCAAGAACTTGTTGTTTTGCAAGATGCATTCTCGGTTGTTTGAGATCTGCTGAAAGATGGTCTTGTTGGTCTTGCCCTGGAATATGATGTTCTCCTGCACCAGAGCCTTGGTGCGGCCCCGCACTGCGATGCCGTAGGCCCGGAATGAATGGATTCGGTTCTTTATTACCTGGGAGAAGCAGCCAGAGCTTGTCACACTTTAGGGACTCCCAGGTAAGTCAATCACCGGTTATGAAATAGAGGGGTAAGAGCATGCTATGTAGGTCAGCAGTGAGCCATGGGAGCTCAGGTAAGCGGTATCAAGACCAATGGGGGAACCAGGGAAGGATTCCTAGAGGAGGTGATGTGTAAACTGTAGGAGTTTATCAGGTGCAGAGCAGGGGAGGGATGTTACAGGAAGAAGAAACAATGTGCAAAGGCCTGGCAGAGAGGAGATGTGGTGCCAGAAGCCAGGGCCACTGCAACCCAACCACATGGCAACAGCACATTCCCGTCTCCCTTCTTTTGCTCCCACAGATGCAAAGCCAAGGAATTCTATGCTCCTTGGCTAAGCCACTACTCATGAAGCTGCAGAGCTGGAAAAAGGCTTTGAGATCGTAATTCCACCAGGGCAGGGAATGACTTAACACGGCTTAACATGGAAACCCTAGCATCCAGCACAGTGCTTTGCATAAAAAAGGAGCTCAGAGCTTACTGTCCCATTGGGGAGACAAATAGGCAAAGGAATAGATACAAAGCTCCACAAGAAGTGCTCTGTGAGGTAGGGGTGGGCATAAACACCTCAGAAATCTAGAGAAGGGGTACCTCAAACAGTCTGGGGGGTCAGGGAGGGCTTCCTGAAAAAAGTGATCACTAAGCTTTAGGACTGAGGTAAAAAAGGGGAGAAGTGTGTCTCGGGTATACAAGGAATAATTTGTGCAAAGGCCCCAAGGCAAGATTTCTCATTAAGCACCTACCTACTGCATTCCAGGTCCTGTGTGAGATTATTCTGTTAGAGTAAGAGAGCTGAAATAGCCCTGACCTTGACTTGGAGACCACAAAGATACTCCAGGTGGCACCCCCACCCCGGTTTCCTACTGGTAACTCTAATTCATGCTTCAGGGCCCAGTTCATATGTCCCCTCCAATGTGAAGTCCCACCTTCGTCTCCCAGGCTAAGTTTTGGCAGGAGGAATGATGACCCTTCCAGCAACGGGTATGTAAGTGCTTTATGCGTCTTAACAGAGAGGGCATGAGGGCTCTCCCAGGGCTGTGCCCTATGTTGGCACCACACGGCGTGCGCGCACACACATACACACCTTAGTGTCAGACCTGGGCAGCAGCTGCAGCCCACTGCCCCGGTTGCCAATGATGTCGTTTTCAATGACAACGGTGCTGTCGCCCTTGGTGATAATGCCATGGCCTCTGTTGTCATAGATACCATTGCCCCGGAGCTCCACCTTGCACTGGGCCTCGACTTTGACCCCACTCTGGCGGTTGCAGGAGATGCTGTTGTTAGTCACACGGGTGAGCTGGCTGCTCTGGGCCACAGTGATACCTCTGTCCCCATTAGCGTGGATCACGTTGGTGATGACATGCAGTGCCTCACTGCTCTGGACATAGAGTCCTGAGGCTGCAGGCGGAGGGGGTGGGAGGCAGAGAAAGCACAGGGTGGTCCCAGGGTCAACCCTGACAATACCAGTCAGGAAAATCCTTCCTGGAACTGTGCCCCCCAGGAGACAGGCGGGGAAGAAGAGGTAGCAACACTCAGAACCAGCCCTTGGGAGTTGCAGCTTCCAAGCTGGATGACACACAGAGCAGGAAGAAACCTGGGAACATCGAGAAAATTCTGTTGCTCTGAACTAAGTCCTCAATATAGCCAGGGAAACGTGATGCAAGAAGATTGTTTAAGCTCAGCTGGTCATCTGGCCCAGGCTCTCATCCTGTGTGTGAATGCCTCCTACATCACCCTCCTACCGCTATTTGCACCTCCTGTGAGGGGATGCTCATTACCCACCCAAGGCTGCCTATTCCACCTCGAGACAGACTGACTTATCTGCAGGAAAGCTGTTTTGTTTTCCTGCCCACACTGAGCTTGAATCTGCCTCCCTACTGTTTATGTTAATTTTCTTCATAAGGGAAATTCTATCACTTTTGAGTAGAAAAATTTATTAAGTAACTGTGTCCAAATGTTTTAGAAATTTTGGAAAGAAGATAGTGTTTGGGGTTATGCATGCTTAGAGACACTGTATTTATAGAAAAAAGCACAAAATCAGCGGGCTCAGAGCTGCACGACTTGGTCAGGAAGAGAAAGTATGGCAGGCGGACCCAGGGTTAGGAGGAGGACTCACCAGTGGTGACATCCACCTGCCACCAGAGCAAGAGGCACTGGGGTAGTGCTGGGTGTAGGGAGAACAATGACAATGGCTGAAAGAAGTGGCAATCTGAGCAATGAGCCTATGAGTTTGAACCTCTTGGTGGCACCTGCTTATTTTAATTTATGCAGCTCTGCCTATCCTACTGAACGGCATGGCCACATGGAGGGAACCCTGAACTGGGAGGGGACAGAACTCATTTTCTAGGTGAATTTGCTGGGGCCACTGGCTCTGCCACTCCCGAAGGAATGAGCTTACCAGCGCCCAGTAGCACCTCTTTCTAACAAGCCTTCCTCCATCAGCCCCCACAGTGATTCTGATAATCAGCCAGGTTTGAGAGCCCTGAGTTAGATGAACTCCACAATAAGCTTTTTTTTTTCAATTCAATAAAAATTTGAATACCTACTATCATTTTTTGTCAAGTATAACAAGGATTTAAAACACACTTGTTTTCTGTATATCCAAGAAAAATCATTGCCAATTAAACCATGACATACAATCAATTGCAAGATGCATCTCATCAGATATTACAATGTAAAAAATGTGTCTCAGAATATATTAGAAATGTATATGCCAGGGGTAGATTTGGTACTGCAGGGGCAGGGGGCACTGGCAGGTGTGGGATTCAGTTCTTTGCCTCAAGTTCACAGCCTATCAGAGTTGATGAAACAGCCATAGAAACAAATAGCTTCAGGTCCCCTAACAAATGCCACTGGGGATGGGGGGAGGGCACAGTTCAAAGGAGGAAAGGATGGAGGGTGCATTCTCAGTGGGCTTAGCAGTTCAGGTTGTTTGGGATGTGTGGGTGGGAGAAAGGGAATTTCAGGCAAGGGAAATAACAAGAGCAAAGTCAGGGGTTGGGAGACAGGAAAGAATGGATTCAAGTTCAGAAGACTGGGATATCAGGTAAATGGCTGAAAGAAGTGGCCAATGAGGCTGGAAGGGCTGAAAGGGCCAGACCGTGAAGGGCCCTTAAGGCAGTGAGAGCAGAAAGGCTCTGGAGCTGGGGCTGGGGAGGAGGGGGACACTCACCTCCATTGTGATTAATACTGTTAGACTCGACAAGAGCTATGGTGACAGGCCTGCGCAGCGGGTCCTCGTCCTTCTCCAGCTCTGTCTCCCAGAGGATGGCATCCCCATCCTCACTGAAGTTCTCCTGGGCCCCATGGCCTCCAGGGAACTCACCGGAACCATCCTTCTGGCTAAACACTGCCACTCCATACAGGCCATTGTAGCTGACGTGGTTGCTGGTGACGTGGGGCAGGCTGGATGACATCATCCACACACCACAGCCCTTATTAGCTGGGACAGTGAAAGGAGCTGGTCACTGACACTGAGCAAAGGGTAGGGCAGCCCCCAGTGTCTCCCCAAGAGGGGAAGCAAAAAGGCACTGGCCTGGGAGAGTGCCTGATTTGTTAATAGTCTTGGACAAGTCACTTTATGGCTCTGGCTGCAGGCTTCTCCTTCATACAAGAGGGAAATAACAATCAGGACAATATCTCAACTAGGATCATTCCACAGGGTGTAAAAGTGCTCTGAGAACTGTAATACGCAAGCACATGGTGATAGTGCCCAGGGCCCTCAGAGTTCATCTAACCCAACCCCTCTCCATAGAGAGGAAGGTAGCCTCGCTTTGAATCCCAGCCCTACCACTTCTTAGTTGTGTGACATTGAGCAGGTTACGGAACCTCTCTGTGTCTCAGTCTCCTCATCTTTAAAATGGGGTTAATAACTGTAGCTATCTCAGAAGGCAGTCATGAGGATTAAATGAGGTAACACATATAATGGGCCTAGTAGAGCTGGGCCTGAATACATGTGAGCTGCTATCATCATCGTCATCATCATCATCATAATCCGTCATTGTCATCGTCATCATCATGATATATAGTCCAGAAAGATTAAGGCTTTGCCCGAAATCACAGAGTGAGAACAGTTTTCTTTCTATGATTATCCTATTTCTCTCATATTTTTAGTTCTCTGGATTAAAAGAAAGAATAAGAGAAGTTAGATGCTTGTTATGTCAGAGCTCAAGTGGCCCTGTCCTTACACAAGACCCAACTCCTGCTTTTTGCTGTTTTAAATGGGGATAAAGTGCCCTCTTTTGCTGAATCCACGGGGTTAGTCTGATTTATGGAGGCTCTTGCATTCTGTGAGGGGCTGTGTGGCTATGACCTGAGATCGATGCTATTCTTCAGATGAGGTCTTTGAGGCCCAGGGAAAGGTGACAACTTAATCAGGACCCACAAGCTAGAGATAGAACCTGGGCTTCCTGCCTCTCAGACTGGGCTGAACCCCAACCGCTCCCCTGGAACATGCTCCTCACCGTAGATAGTGTTTCCTTCTATCAGTCCTTTGCCTTCATCTCCCACGACCACACCATCTGAATAGCCAAAGCAGATGAGGTTGCTCCTGAGGACAGGGACCCCCCCGCGGCGGATGTCCACACCTCCCCACTGATTCTCACGGATGACATTTTCTATGGAGAGAGGCAGAAAAGAGGGTCAAGAGCCAAGGGCCTGCTCCAGTGCTGGCAACAAGGATCTGGGCAGCTGAGAGGAAGGACAGGCTGGACCAGGATGCCTAGACCTTACCCTATGAGCAGTCAGCACCCTGAACCTCATTTGGTGTTTGATGTTTCAGAGTCTTGTTTGCTGTCTGCTTTTCCCAAGGGCAAGTTTTGTGTCTGTCTTGGGCTCTCCTACATCCCTAGTACCCATTGTACCCAGTGGCCATGGGGACTAATGACTAAAATGGTGTTAGAGTCCCTGGGCCAGGCCAGGCCAGGCAGGAGATATCTTTCCTGAGTGGCTGTTTCTAGGATGCTGAGGCAGAATCCAGCCATTCCCCCACAAGCCTGGGGAGGCACCAGCCTGTCCTTCTCAGTGTCAGCTCTGGACTGGCCACAGCCTTCTTCAACTCTCCCTTCCACCTCTCCAGGAGTGGGCTGAAGAGTCACAAGTCAGAAGGGTGGTCCTGGGACCATCTGTCGCCAGCTCTGTGGCAGTGCAGACTCCCAGCCTCCTAAGTCTGGAGTGCAATGGCTCATGAGACCCTGTGTGACTGGCCCCTTCATGCCTCTGTGACTCCATCTCGAACCCCTCACTCAGCTCACACTAGTGCTCTCCCTGCTCCTCAGGCACACCAAGTCTATTTCTACAGGTGCCTCTGCATGGAATTCCAGTTCTTTCCTCAGGCTCCTTCTCATCATTCAGGTTCTGGCTTATACATCACCTTCTCTGAAAGGCCTGCCCTGACCACACAATCTTAAATACCTACATAGTCCCTCTCTCATCTTATTTTAATTATCTGTAAAGCATTTATCATCCTCAGATATGACTTTTCTTGCTTCTATATGTATGGTTTTATTTTCATTTTCCCTTCCTAAAAAGTCAGCTCCTGAGAGCAAGGATGGTGTCTCTTTTGTTCACTGCTGTATCCGGCTCCTGCATATAGTGTGTGCTCAATAAATGTCTGATGAATGAATGAAGGCTAGATTCAGCTAGTGGGATTCACTGGGCCAATATTTACTGAATCCCTTTTATGTCCCAAGTATGGCTATGCTCCGTGCTAAGGTTACAATAATGTACCAGACAGACTTGATCCTTGCCTTACAGAATTTACTGCCTTATAGCAAAAGAGATTGACATTAAACAGATAACTAAAAAATTAAGAAAATCGTCCTGCAGAACAGGCCTATTGGGTACAGTGAGTTGTGTCTGTCTGTCTGTCTATCTATCTTCTATCTATTTCTCTCTCTCTCTCTCTCTCTTTCTCTCTCTCTCTATCTACTGGAGGTCAGGGCAGGCTTCACTGAGGAAGTGACACTTAGGCCCATATGATGAGCAGGAGGTGGCCAGGCAGAGGGGAAATGGGAATGAATTCCCAGAGCAGGCAGAAGCATGTACAAAAGCCAAAGGGAGAAATTCAGATACTTTGTGTGGCATAAATGTTCCTGGAAGTATTATCTGAGTCACTTAGTGAGATCCTGTGAGCACTGGGCCTGGCAAAGAGTAGACACTCCCTGACTGCCAGGTCCTTCTCTTGATTAGCAGGGCCAGTGCATGAAGCCAGCATCCCCGAATGCTAGCCACTACTCAGAGCAGGGGGCCAGTCTATGGAGGTGAAGGACTGGGTAAGGGGAGCCAGCTGCATGGCAGGTGAGGCTTCGGTGTTCCCACCCTACCTGTGATGAGGCCTTTGCCATTCTCGTTCACTGCTATGCCAGCTGCACGGCCCTTGAAAATGTGGTTCCCACTAAAATGGAAAGAAAACAAGGCAAAGAGGTGAGACCAGACCAATGTCATGCATCATGGACAATGCCCACCCAAGGCAACTGCCTTCTTCTGTGGGCTTCCCCAGATGGCTCAAGTCCATGAGGGCATAAAGCGCTTCCTGAAGTCCTAAAAGCCAGGCATTTAGTAATCGTCAGTTAACACTGACCAAACACTAAACCTACAACTATGCCTTAGAAGCACAATGATATCTAAGTCTCTTGCCCTCTCTTGACCATCATCCACATATGAACACCACATATGAACATTTTAAATAGATGTCATCGTGGCACACGGGTCCCAGGTGAAGTGTTGGTGGTTACAGAATTCCAAGGCTATTGTGTTAAACTCATTTGAGAGTGGCTGCATCCAATACCTGAATCACGTGGAGCCTACGTCCTTCTGTTTTTGTCCAAAAGCTACTCTTTACCTTATTGTCTGTTAACCACCTGTCCACGAAATAACATAATGACATGCGTTAAAAGAAGAAAACAAGATTTTTTAAAAAGAGAGTTTCAAGAACAGCAGACAACATGTATGTGGAGCATCATGGGTTGGGTTAGCCACAAATGAAAGATATACGAAAACATATTCCTGCTCAGAGGAACACACATGTGGCCCTCATTGCCATGTACAGGCCTCACGAATGTGTTCCTCAAAACCAGATACTTGAACATGTGAAAAGACAAGCATTTCTTTCTAGTCTTTAGTTTCCTACCTGTAAAAGCAAAGCCAGTCACACCTAGACGTTAGCAGAATTGGGTTATCCCTGGAGGACACATTTGCTATTTTTACTAACAGGAATGCTGTGATCTCCTTCTTTACTGGAAGGGCACCTGCCCCCTCTCTTAGGAAGTGGCCTTCCTACTTCCTACCAGGTAGCTGAGAAATGTAGGTTCCAATATTCATCTGGCCCTTCAGAGCCTAACACCCCAAAGAACATCAGGGCCTGGCACCCCATAGAACATCACTGAAGAGGCATAGGCTGGTAAGTTTTCCCATCTTCTAGGGCAGGGTCCAAATGGTTTACTTCCTTAAGGAAAAACAGCAAATTATGTCAATGTTGGGAAAGCCAGATGTCAGGCACATCTATACTATGCATTTCAATTGAACAAGTGAAATTAACTGTTAAAAACATCCCTATTTGTTTCTTCAGACAGATCTGAAGAGTCTGCTTTGATGTGGTTACAATTCAATTGGCTAATGGCTACTGTGGAATTCATAGTCAGAGGAAGTCCCTGGCCTAGGGCATATTTCTGAGAGCTGTGCCATAGCAGCAAATGCATGACTTGCATATTTTTAATACAGATCTCACTTACCTCCAGAAAGGATCCATGGCCACTTGGAGAAACATGTATGTGTGTGTACATAGGGCGGGCAGAGTAAAGATAAAAGAAGTATCAGAAAACATTTAGGAAAAGGGGACAGATCTTTATTCCAAGAACCAAGGGTGAGATATTTACTGCAAATGAGCCAGTTTGAATCTTGTGCTTCCTTGCAGCCAAGGCAAAAAAAGAAACAATAGGTAATACAGCTCTCACTGGCAAAAAAAAAAAAAATGCTGTGTTTTACCTTATCCATGCAACTTCAGAGATCTCAAAATTCATTCTGTACCCTCTCCTAAATCCTTACATTCCATTACAAAGAAATATAAAGGAATAAAGCACAATTTATTCTCTCGAAGTGACTGTTTTAAAAACCCCAGACACTGATCTGATTTTATAACATTCCTTGCTCAAAACACTTCAACAATGCCCCAGAAATCATAAGGTAAAGTCCCAACTTCCTGGTTTAGTGTATGACTGCTATAACAAATGATCACAAACTTAGTGGCTTTAAACAACACAAATTTATTATATTCTAGTTTAAGCAGTCAAAAGTTCAAAACGGGTCTTAAATGGCTCAAACGAGGTGTTGGCAGACCTGCAGTCTTTCTGGAGACTCTAGAGGGGAATCCATTTTTGTCTTTTCCAGGTAGCTTCTTGAGGTCCCTCACACTTCTTAGCCTGGGGCCTCATCACTCTGACCTCTGCTCCTGTTGTCACATGTCCTGCTCTCTTACCCTGATTCTGCTAAGGACAAAGGTCCTTAGAAGAGTCAAAGGACCTGTGTGATTACACTGAGCCCACCTGGATAATCCAGGATAATCTCCCCATCCCACTTTAAGAATTAACTCTTTAACTTAATCACATCTGCACAGTCTCTATTGTCATTTAAGGTAACATATTCATAGATTCCAAAAATCAGGTCATAAATATATTTGGAGGGTCAGTATCCTACCTGCTACCCTTGGCATTTAAGGTCCTCTGCACTCCAGCAACAACCTGCCTTTGTAGGCCAATCTTCTGCTTACTCCCCCAGGGCATCTCCTGCCCAGACATACTACATTTTTTTTTACCATTTCCCCAAGACATACCTTGAATTTCACTGCCCGTGGGCCCAGAATGCCTTTTCCCTGGCCATAAAACCCTATTTATCCCTCAAATGTCAGCTCCCCATGTGCTTGTCCCTAACTTGCTCAGCTGAAATTGTGGCTGGATTCCTTTGGCACCTGCATAAAGACCTATTAAAGTGCTTGTTTTGGTGAGTCTTCCCTCATGGTTCTTTGTATTTCTATCTCCAACATGAAATGGTAAACTTCACGGAACAGAGACTGTTCTTACACACTTTTTATACCACTGTCTCCTTACAGAGTGTGTGTTCAATAAATAACATGCATACAAACAAATATACTCATCTTAAGGCAATAATGCAAAAGATGAAAAAAGAGCACTATGACCACTGTTTTTTAGTAAGTTGTCTATAACAGTAAAAAAAAACAAATGACTAACAGTTATGGGACTGGTTAAAAAATTATGGAATATGAAGACAATGGAATGTTCTGTTCTGAAACTTTCCAAAGTGATAAAGGCCACGCAACAGCATGGAAAAGTACACATGGACTAATGCAGGCGAAGAAAGCCTCAGAACGTATTTACTGCACATTAATGCCAGTTATTTTCCTAAAGCACAGACATAACTGTGCAAGTCTGCTCAAAGCCTTTAACGGTTTCCTATTATCTAGACAAAATAAACCCCACCTTTGTCAGCTTGGTCTACATAAAGCCTCCCTCACCTGGCCCAAGGCTTTCTTTCCATCATCCATTTCCATTACACTGCACAGCAGAGATAGGCTGCCACCGGGAAATAAAAGGTCATGCTATAGTAACCAGGGTACCCAAGATTCTCTGGGATAGTCCCAATTTAAAATATTTTATACCAATGTCACACCTTGTCTCAGACCTTTTCTCAAGCCACGGTGGACTGTTTGCTAACCCCTGAATCTGGTGTGCCCTGCTGCCTTTGCTTGGATTGTTCCTCTACTAGGAACGTCCATCCCCATCTCCATGACAGTCCAAGTTCTACCCATTTCAAAGTCCAACTCCAATGCCACCTCCAAAATGAGGCCTTCCCACACTCCCCTAGAATGGTTCCTTCCCTCTCTTGGAACCACTTTGGTAGCATTTACTACAGTCTGCCCAAAATGATAGCTGAGAGGGCAGATCCATGGTCCCTGTAGTGCCACCGCCCCTTCTATCGACAGAGATTGAGTTTGGCGTGCTTCCATGCTGAGGCCAGATGTAGCCTCCAGATCTTCACACAGCATCCCAGTAGCCACGACCAACTGACCAGTGTTGAAATCTCTATGCCATCTCCACCTTAGAGTTATTTCTGGGCAAGTATGTCCTCCAGACTAGAGTAAGCTCCTAGGGAGCAAAGTCTGCCCCTTGTTTACCTTTGTTATCATTATTAGAAGTGTTCAGTGATGTCTGCTGAATAGAATGGCTACAGAGTTAATGGGAAGGCAGCACAGAAACACAAAAGCATTGTGCTATTGTGGTGGGATTATGGGTGAAATCTCCTCTTTGCTTGTGTCTGTAGTTGTTTTAGTAAACGAAAATGTTTTCAAATGGAGGAAAGACGGAGTAGGAAAACAAGGATGAGAGAGGAAAGAAGGGACCGCAGGTGAGCGGACAGTCTGGGTATGGTGGCACATACCTCACAATTGGATTTCCATGGTATAGGATATAAATGCCAGCTTCCTTATTTGAAAAGATTTGGTTGTTCCGGATGATGCCTTTCCCATTGCCGAGGACGACAATGCCAGAGCGAAGGCCGTGGTGGATCTGGTTACACTGCAAGTGAACATGGGACACCACAGAAGACAGATCAGACATGCCAGAGCGAAGCAGAGTACTCAATCACTGCCCCACAGCAGGGCCAGGATGAACACAGTGGAGAAAACAGCGTCTCTGGGAGATCCCTAGCACACGACGAAGTGCATGGACCCTGCTGCTGCCCTGCCCTGCACAGGTGCACATATGGGAACCTATCAGGGAGAATCTGAAGATAGGAGTGTTCACTGCCCTGCCTCTTGGGATATAGTGATGTCAGCTCTTACTGCTGAGGGCTCTTGTTCTTCACTGACAAGGCATGCTTCTGGAAACAAACTGAGTCTCCAAAGAGTCCCCCAAAACACACAATCATCTGGCAAGGCCTTACCTGCCAGAGTCCGGGGAGCCTACCTCTCAGGGAAGGGCAGAACCCTAGTACACAAGAATGCTGGCCAAATGCAGTCCCAAGGGGGCCATATCCAGGGAAGGGTGAGAGCCATTTGGCTTCTAGTCCTCACTTCTTATTCAGGGGAGGGTTGAGAAACGGTGTGGCTCTGGGGAGCTTAGCTATTTCATGGGGCATGAACTCATAGGTATGTGAGCTACAAAGAACCTTAGAGATATTCATTTAATACCTCTTTGTGCAAATGGGGAAATAGGCCCAAGGTCACACAGTATGTTTGCGGCAGAGCCAGATCTTAACCTAGTTTTTCCGTTTCCCAGTCAGTTAGCTGCTTTTGCACAAAAATTTTCAATTATAATAAACTATAATAAAATTGTTTCATTCTAATCATTAATTTACAGCCCAAATACAATCCCATACTTAAACCAGGAAATTAGCTGTTTCTCTTCCAAAACAATTTCACCAAAAGTTCTAGTTTGCTTTAAAGTATTCCAGGCTGCAAGCTGTCCTATTCCTACTTACTTTCCAGATTTCCTCCTGACAAATTTAGCCAACTCACCAGGGCAACCATGGCCTACCGGAAGTCCCTCATAGGGGGTGTATGGAATGGCATTTCCATGGACACCCTTTCACAAAGCCAAGACTGATATGCAACACCCCCTTCCCACCTCCACCTGCTAAACTGGCCCTCCCCAGTCTGTCTCTGGGAAGCAAATTCATCTCTCTGGCAACAGTGGCAGTAATTTCCTACGCCAAGGCCATGCATCAAACACCAGCTGCATAGCAGAAATACAGTGAGAGGAAGGGGTTAGAAGAGGACACTGGCTAGGCATGTCTTTTTAAATATAGTTAGGACTTTCCTTTCTTTGCATTTGCAAGGGCAGTCTATATATAATGGGTTAAGAATATCAACCCTGAGTCAGAATGCACAGATTCAAATCCCAGCTTGGTCACTAGTTGTGTGATTTGGGGCAAGATCTTCAGCCTCTTTGTGCCTCAATGTCTCACCTATAAAATGAGGATAAGAATTCTACCACATGGGGTTATGTAAGGATTAAACCATGATTAAATAAATATATACAAAGTGCTTAGGACAGTACCTGGCATATAATAAGCACTACACATAAGACCTGGCATATAATAAGCACTACACATAAGAGTGGATATTACTTTTCTAGACCCACAAAAAATCTGTCATATTTTTCAATTTCTGAGAAATCTGTCTCTTGGAGAAGGCCAGGGCGGAAAGGGGTTGCTCTCTCATGTCACAGGCCTCATAGTCTAGGATTTTAATACATACTGGTGTAAAATTGAACTCACTATGGCCTCACGATATCCATGAAAGACTCTTCAGAACTAAATACCATTTTTATAGTAAAGAATGAACTAACTTGGTGTTTTATTTTTGATCCATGTGTCTTTTAGGGCAGACACTGTGATTTTTATTCTACCAGAGCCAAAGCCAACCAGAGCATACCAGGGCTGAGGGAGGATCCTGTGAAACTTCCTTGTCATCTTTCTTACTGACAAGGAAGACTACAGGGAAAAGGGCAGGAACCCCTTGCAAACAGGAAGCAATATAAATTTGAGATGGCAACATTTATTTAAATATTCTTGGAAAAGGTTTGTGAGAAGCAAGAGCCACCCTGAAAAGGGCATGAAGACAGAAAGAAGTACCAGTATGAGTGGGTTGGATTTTTTCCGGATGTCTACACCAGCCTCCGCATTGTGGTAAATGTTGTTGCCAGCGATCAAGCCTCCGCCCTCCAAGCGAAGAAAGATGCCTGATGCTCTGCAGCGGTGAATGTCATTCCTGAGCATGACAACCTAAACAGAGAGGAGAAAGCTATTTGTTTCCTGTCACAAAGGTTTTTTAAAAAATCGCGTGGTAACACGAATCTTTTCCTTAGCATCTGATCCATGCTGCTCAACCTGTAAGCAAGAGGAGTGCCTCAGTGCCAGCTCTGCCACTATCCAACTGTGCGCTCACAGGGACAGAGCCATCTCTGTGTCCTTTCTGGCTCTGCCTTATTCACCAACCTCACACTGGTTTCCTAATAAACGTGGATCGAAGCTTGGCCCTGTGCTCCACACTCACAACTTCTGAGCAGAATAACTGGATAATGGGATGGAAAGGACCCTTAGAGAAGGTGAGACTCAGTGGTCTTCAAACTGCATACATTGGGGTTACACGGACTTTCCCAGGGATCCAAGGGCACAGCTACTTTGAATGGAATCAAGTTCCAGATCCATCACTTAAGCACGTGCCTTCGCAAAAACTCACCTGCCTGAGAAAGTACCTGAGAGTAAGGTTCTCCTCTCTCACCTGCCCTTTCACTTTATAAAGCAAAGGCCTATTCTTGCCCACTCTGAAACTTTCTTGGTATATTATCCTGAGTGGAAAAACCACTGGAATTCCCAACTAAGGGACAATTAGAAATATTGGTATAAGGAATCCTCCCTTAAACAAGGTACTATAACCTAGCACACAGCTTATTAAAGGAATGTATTGCCGCTTACGTTTTCTTTTTACATTTAATAATTATATTAAGAATTGAGAACATACATATATTGTTTTAAATAACTGGTTATTAATAATAAAAGTATATTATGTTGGGATAAAATTCTGGGAGAGGTAAAGTAGAATGGAAGTATAATTTTAAGAAACTTTCAGCTTCTGCTTAGGATGGAGAAAGTTGGAAAGAGCATTGCTCCTACACTTACAAGAAGATACAAAAACATAACCTTCCTGACCCATCAGAGAGCCGAGGTTGCAGGACAAGCATCTAGCCTGAAATCTAAGGAAAACAGGTGCTTCCAAGGAGACGAGATGTGAGCACTTGCTTATCTGAATGGATGCAGGTGCCATATAAGCTGGGAAAAAGAATTTAGTTAAAAGTTTTAACGGATTGTTAAAGGCCAAGTGTGAACTAGTGTGAAAGTACAGAAACTCGGGGAAAAGTTGCATCTATTCACTTCATGAACCTCACTAGGAGCCCACGAAGAAAGACTGGAAACAGTGCAAGAGATGGAGACAACCCCCCTCATGGTGGAAGCTTGTGGGGAAAGTACAGCAGCCACTGTGGGAAAAGCATTAAGCTCCTCCTGGATTTTTCTCCCCTAACTTTCTTATAGGTCAAGCCTGGCACTCTCCAGGAAAGGGAGAGAGGAAAAAAACCCTTTACCCCTGGGGGAGGTGGGGAAAAAACATCTTTGAGCCCAGACCATTAGAGGCCTTCTAGTGCTGGGAGTGAGGCAGGACCACTGAAAAGGGCCTGCTCCTGAGGTCCTTGACCAAAGACTAACAATGAACCAGGACGCAGTGAAACCTCACCACCATGCCACCAGGCTGGCCAGTGCAGAGCCACAGGTGACAGCAATCTACTTCTGGGAGGGCCACAAGCATAGAGAGATCCTCTCTGAGGAGCAGGAGCAAAGGGAAGGCCAAAGGAGGAGAAAAGCCACTGGCAAACCAGCACGAGGCAATGCTAGAGGAATGTGAGGCTGTGGGACACTGAAGATAATCATAACCACAGCAAAATCCAAAACAGTTCCATCCCTGACTACACTGACTCAAACCCTGGCCCCCTAAGAGCCTCACAAAAGAAGCATGCCCATTTCCACACATAAATACGATCTACCTCAGTCTCTGCTGTCCTATGCGAGATACCTTTCAACTAAAACTTACAAGATACATGAAGAAGAAAAACCATCAGTCAGTGATACTTTTCTTTGTGGAGCCCCAAGTGACTAGGCTCCTTCGGCCAGCCTTTGTCTTCATGGGGAGGTTCTAGAGGGCAGAGACAGGGAGGCTACTCTTTGGCCGCTTGATCAAGGCCTTGCTCCTGGGCACAGGGGCCAGCTCAGCAAGCCCCACACTCCTGCCCACAACTCCCTGCTTGTATTAAGGCCACTTAGCATACAGTTGTACTTATGAGACACCATGGATTCTTTTTTTGGTCAAAAACCCTGAATATCAGTTCTAGGTTCCTTTACAATGACTCACTGGCTGCATGATTCCTGCCAAAATTCCCTGAGGGCCATAGTTCAAGAGGGGTATAATGGTGTAAAATGAGGAAAATAGATTTTTTTCCCTCTGTCCAAATACATGAGGCAAGTATGTGTTATAAGTTTCAAAACAAGGTGATTTAAAAAAAAATACAAAATAGCCCCATCAAGGCATTCCTACATATAGCCACAGGAATCCTCTCATCAATCAAAAATCATGTTCCTGGTCACCCAGTAAGGCCTCGTGGCTCTGTAGAGGAAGCCTTGTGACAGCACCTTGCTATTATGTATACACCGCACTGCGTAAGTCAGGTTCCGGAAGATGTTTCCTTCCATCTTGGCTCGGCCATAGGAGCACACAAAGACGCCTCCCTTCCCGTCCCGGAAAAGGCACTTGCGGATGAGGCAGCCCTGCACGGAGCTGGCCAGTGCCATGGCTTCCTTGTCTTTCTGCAGTTCCTGCTGCAGTGAGTTCAGCACTAGGCAGCTGGGCAGCTGAATGGATGCTCCTGGCAGAGGTGGGCCCAGAAAGGAGCCCCCCAGAACAGGGCGCGGGCCCTGCACTTGGTAGGACAGTCTGTATGTGAGCTGGTCCTCGTCCTCATCCTCACCGCTGGGACTCAGGCCTCCATCGCTGCTGTCTGGGGTCTGGGCTACTCTTTCCTTTCCCCATCGCTGCCCACTTCTGCCTCCTGTGAGCCAGCCTTGGATCCTGGCTTTGGGGAGCTAGAGGTTGGGCTGGTAGGGCTCTGGCTGCCCTCGATGACAATGTCACAGGTCCTTGGGCTCCAGGCCTGGTCTCTGCTCTCCAGGTCCAGGGACAGTAAAGAGTCAGAAGCCTCTGTGGGGAGCACACTGGGAGAGGACTTGATGAGCCCTAGTAGGTACTTGTAGGCCCAGTTCTTGTCTGCAGACGGGTGGCCCTCAACAGTCACAGAGTTGTTTTCGCTGCCCACAAATTCACAGTTTTCCAGGACACACAGGGGCACATTGTGCAGGAAGACATGGGTGTTTCTGAAGGTGCAAAATTTCACTTGGCAGGTGCCTGGACCATGGACCTGGATGTGCCCATTTTCAAAGTTGCAGTTGTCAAACTGGACATGACCTGATGTTGTCTGGGGAATGAAAAAGAGAAATGGAGATAACTGGGATACGATCTGTTTTGCTAGTCTGTACTCTAACTGCTCTTCAGGGAGGTGAAGCGTGCAGCAGCCATTTCTCCTGCTGATCATGTTCCCTTCCCCACCAGGGCAAGTGTTAGCTGGTCCCAAGAGAAGCCCAGAAGCTGCTCTGCATCAGAGAGAAAATAATTTGAAGATGGCTGCCCAAACCTCCCTCTAATCCCAAAGGGAGGGAGACAAGAATGGAAATAGAAAATGGCAGAAAAGTTCATGCTCTGCAGCAGGGCCCTTCTTAAAAATCTCAAATCTCAGGTAAGTTCTCCTAATACTAAAAAAATCTGAAATCTCAGGTAAGTTCTCCTAATACTAAAAAAGTATTGCCTAGTGACAATAAAACTTTAGGGTGGGGGGTGGTAAAAATTAGGAAGGAAAAAGAAGCTGACGGATGAGGGGGATGTTTAGTGAAACTGAATCAACACATGTTAACACAGGTGAACTAGGAGAGCATCACTCTAGGGATGATCAGAAATGACTGGGAGAGCTTTGAATTTTTATAAACACAGGAATTAGCTGGAATGGGAGCCCAACTTTACCAAGATATCTAAGAGTGACAGAGTCCCAGCTTGAAGTCTGGCTTTTATGAAGAACGTGCCAAATAGTGTGGTGTTTCTCTTAGGTCTCACTTTTCTAAGCACTTTTCCTTCATTTGCACCTGCTCTTAGCTCTGCAGCACACACAAAGCACCAGCTTAGTGTCCAAACTCAGGACAGAACCAGGCAGAAGCCTGAGGGCTGACAGAGGACAGGGCAGAGCAGGCCAGGAGGGGCTGAGCCCTGCTTTGGCTGGGGCAGGCAGTGAGAAGGGACAGACACAAGTGCTGGGAAAGTGTCCAGTCTATGTGGCAACTGGTGCATGTAGGGCACAGCAAGAACCAACAGGCCATATCCCTAAAGAGGGGGACAGGTATGTTGCCATTGCCAGGCAACGCTGAGCAGTGGTTAAAAGCACGGGCTCTGGAGTCTGATTGCATGGGACAGCTCCCAGCTTTGCTTCTTTCAAGTGCTTGGACAAATGACTTCACCTCTCTAAGCTCCTTTGTCTGCAACATGGGGCTTACTAGCCAAAAAAGCACAAGGCACAAAATTGGCACCCAATAAAAGTTAGCTATTATCATCTGCGGTCAGGGATGCAAAGAGCAGAGAGTCCCCTGGGGTGGTGCAGGGAAGTGGCTAAATCCCAGAGCATAACTCACCTGAGCCTCTTAGTTCTCTGGGCCTGACTGAGAAGCCCAGCCACTATACATTCCTGAAAAAGAAGTGTTTCTGGATTTTGTGCCAAATTTCATCAGATGGATATGAACCATAAAATGACAGAATGTTTCCTGATCCCAGAGTAATCCAAACACATCCACCTCTTGAACAATTCTAACATTCTCTAGCAGTGACTTCCCTTGAGAGCCTGTCCCAGAATTTAACTCCCCTTAATCTCTCTAAGTTCTTCCCCATGGCTAACCTAGTTTTTTCCTTGCTGTAATTTAAGCCTATTTTCTCTTATTTGGTCCTCTGTAGATAAACATCAACTCTCTGGAGATGCAGATCTGTCGCTAAGGTTCTCTTCAGAAGTCATTGAAAACTGCTGTGAAATCACCCTGGCCTTTGCATTTTTCAGGCAAGGTCATCCTAACCTCTAGCCCTGTTTTTAGTGAAAAGACAATCATGAACTGAATGCTAATATATGCCAAGCACTAAGCCAGATGGTGGGCTGGTCTACAAAGAAGTCTAGGGCCAGGCCCCATCCCTTGAGGATCCGTGACACTTCTAAGGGGAAATTAGAGCCAAATGAACACATTACCAAATGACACGACTTGTCTTAATAGTGGCCATAAAACACATGCCTGGACACAGTTAAGTACATCGTAAATATTGGTGGTATAATGATCATTACAAACTTGAGAGACAATTTAGTTGCTATTGGTAGTAATGGTGGCAGTAATGGTGGCAGTATAATTTTTATTGACTAGGTATATAATCTAGGTATTGCAATCAGTTTCTAGGCAATGTCAAAGCTATAGTCTGTTCTTCCAGGAGCTACCAACACCTCAGTACACACTTTGAACACAATTTCTGCTGTGTTTCTAGAAGGAATGTGTTGGGACTGATATTTCCTGATTCTCTCTCCAGTCACCCTCGGAAAAAAAGCCTGACCTTCCTTGACACGCCACAGAGTGGGGCTAATGCACTGAAGGTCATTGGTCCTGCAATACCTCCTCTTTCTTTGGCTCTCTCTGGGCATGCCGTCGTAAAGTGTTCTTTGCTTTCTGTCGCTGTGTGGCACGCTCCTAGAACCTGGCTTTCTCACCTAGCTGCTCCACCTATGGCTTTGGCTCCTCCAATTTTGAAGGGAAGAAGTACAAAACAATTTTGGCCTTAAGTTTCAGGTTCATTTTTTAATACAGCTTTGCCAGGAATAAAGCAGAATGTTAATCTCTACTAATCCCCATGCCTATTTCTCAACTGGTACAGAGCTCAGAGGAGTGTATTACAGAACTAATGACTAAACTCTCAATTCCAACAAAAAAGGGATTAAAACCCACCGAGAAAACACCAAGACCCAGGGTCAGGGCTGGAGAGGCTATCCATCTGGTGTGGACACCCACCTTAAACATGAACGGTGAGAACCAGGCTGGCATGAAGACGAGGTTGCACAGGCGTGTGGTTGAGCAGTGCTGATCAATGCTGGCTAGCAGAGTCACTTCGCCCAACTTCCCGTGGCCTACGATCTCCACAGGCACCTTTAGGATGATTTCGCCTTGCTCTTCGTACACACCCGGGAACAGCACAATTCGGTCATATAGGCTGGCCATGGCCAAGGCACTGCCCAGGCTGTCAAACTCATGGCCTGGCCCGACACTCAGGGTACGACGTTCCTTCCTCCGACGAAATAGAGAAAAGCAGATTGAGGACTCCAAGTCCAGGGCATTCTTGGCCCATGTCTTCGAGGCAAGGTAATGCTGCTTGAAGGCCTCCCTCCAAGACTCAGGCTCCACATCAGGTTGGTTGGGCCAGTTAGGGTGGCGGCACTCGGTGCAGCCCAGACACAGCTGCCGCCAGCGAGTGCTGTCGAGGCTGAGGATCAGCTCATACCAGGCCCTGCAGACCAGGCTGCAGCGGCCCAGGTCAGGAAGGTGCAGGTAGGCTAAGATCATGCGCCACAGCTCCAAGGGGAGCCCACCAGCCTCCATGGTCACCTGGGAGACAGACACAGAACAAAAGAGGTTTTTGTTGACCCTGCTTATGGTCTCCCTTAAAATATCCTCTGCCTTTTCTTGACCCTAAGAGTGAGCAAGTGAACAGGCCCAGCCAATCATAGGACTCCATCCCCTCAATCAGAATCCTTCTCTGGGATTTTTCTACTTGAAATCAGCAGGTCAGACTCTCTTTTCTCTTTGGTCACACACTGTAGAAATATGATCCCAGAAACGCTGGCAGCCACATTCCCCACTTTGTGGAAAACCTTGTGGTAACAGAGCCAAGCAGAAATGAGAAATGAAAGAAAAAAATTGAAAAAGAGAAAGAAAAAAAGTGAGCACATTATATGTCCTAGTGATACTGATTCCAGATTCCTGCAGATGCCCTGGACGCTTCAGTTCTTCCTTCAGTTCTGTGAGGTACCTCAATGGCCTTCTAATAAATGCCCTTTTTGCTTAAGCTGGTTTGATTTGGGTTTCTGTCACTGGTAACTAAAAGAGTTTGGACTAATACGGAGGGAGCCCATCTTTGGCTGCTATGGTCTCAGAGCTCTGGATCCCCTAGACTCCCAGGGAAGGGACCTCTATTTCTTCACACCAATAGGAATGAGAATGGAGGCAGGGAGTGTCCATCTGTCTGTCCCTCCTCATTACCAGATCAAATAATTACCACTGCTTCCCCATAAGAGGCAGCCTCAGGAAAGACTGCTGCTCGATCGGAGGCTGTGGATCTTGGTCCTGGTTCTGCCCATGGTTACTAATGTAACCCTAGTGTCCTAAACATCTACTGGGCTGGCTGGAAGGGGGCCATCTGCCTGCTTCTTTTCTTCTGGAAAATATCCTCCTTTCCCCCCAAGCAATTTGCACCACATGGTTACAGAGGTAGAGCTACACCATAGCCCAGTGTGTAAAACAATACTACTCCAGCTACAAATGATTGGACTCTAGATGGCTCCAATTGGGCCACTGAGACCTCCTCCAGGGGAATATGAGTTGTGATTCTAAAATCAGGTTGATTTCTTTCCTGAATAGAGGGGAATGAATGACTTCTTTCCTAAGCTATAAACTCAGGAATAGTTGCTGGTGACCATTTTCTTGGGGCTGGGGGGAGGAAGGGTGCACTAGAAGCTACTCTACAATGAGAGAAGAATGACTCAAAGACACAGAAAAAAGTTGAGAAAGGGAAGCAGCAAGGGGCATCTCAGTTTCTCTACAGCACTCCAGATCATGGCTCCAGGCTATTTTCAAAGATCAGCTTTATCCTTGCCTTTTGAATTCCATCAGCTATCTCTGCACTCGTAATCAATTCTCCTTTTTGCTTAAGCTAGCATCACTGAATTTGTTACTTATACCTAATTAAAGCTCTCTCAATTACGAGTGTCAGTTTCTCTACCTGACAAACAAGGAGATGCTGTTAGATGACCTAGAGGACCTTCCAGGTCTGCCACTCTATAGTCTCCAGACAACTAGAAACTAAAACTAGAAACAGGTCAGACTCCACAACTGACTTTAATCAAGTTTTTAACTTCTTCAGTGCCTTGGTTTTCCTCTCAACTGTATGAAAATGATGGTCATACTTGTCAGCTATCTAAGTCCCAAGAAGGCTAGAAGCACAAATGTGTGATTATGTCTGGAAGAAATTCTGAGCTTCCTCAAGAAGAGTGTGGCTTTAATGCTACAGATTAGTACTGAAGCCTGGATATGTAGGTTTTTCTCTAATGATCACCCAGTGAGATTTACTAAGGCCTCAGGAGCAGTAGAGAAAAGCTGGGCTCTGGCCTGGTAAGCATTACAAATACAGAGAAAAGGCTGGTTTCCTGACAGCTGTCACTCCCTCAGATAAATGCCATTTATTCATGGCGGTTTCTGTGACAGTGATGTCTCTTGTTCCTCACCTATTTCTTTAGTTATACCTTCTCAAGGTTTTTAACAGAAAAATGTTCTACCCCATTCTGTAGCTAAGTGATCACATTCATATCCTTGGCTTCAACTACCACTGAATTTGTGACTACAAAATCTGAATCTCCAGCCCCAATTGTCTCTTTCCGGATCCATGCATGAACACTCAACTGTCTGTTGGGCATTTCTACTTGGATTTTCCACAGATACGAAAAACTCAGCATTGTATCCAAAACTGAACTTCAACTTCCACCTCAGGCCACAGCAGAGTAACTGGAACTAGATTCACCCTTCTGCCATAAACAACTATAAAGCTGCACAAAATATATGAGGTGACTGAATATATGCTTTCAGGCGTTGACTAGCCAGCTGCACAAGACTGTGATCTTTGCGAAGAGAAACAGAGGAGATGAGTGTATGACTGCCCAGCTTTCATCTTATTCTGGTGCAGGAAAATGGAGCCCAAGCAGAGTGGTGGTCTTACTGAGCAGGCAGATTTGAGCTCTGTGCTGCTGACGTGGCTGGAATCTGTAAGACAGGGTACCAGAATGGAGCGAGGGACAGAGTAGGGGTGGGATGAGTGGGGTGAGGTCAGTTTCTTGGCTGAAAGCAGGACTGCACATGCACAGAGCAAGACTTCTTCAGGCCTAGCAGAGATCGCCTACTATGGGGTAAATATGATACCCACACAGAGCTAGGAGACATGGGAATTCCATCCCAGAATACGGGCTGTTCATGCTAAGACTCAGGCTATGCCATAGGAATAAATTCAAATTAGAAGAATAACAGCAAGCCTGACGGGATCAAAGGGTCCCACCAGTATCTTAACTGCCTGCTAAAACAAAACTTATCACTTAAAAAAAAAACTCCACAATTTAGACTCCCTCAACATGTCAGCCACAAGACAGTGTGGTACTGGCATTAGAAAAATAGAGTCCAGACCCTCTCGGAGCCCAGATGAGGATTTCTTTTTATTCAAATGTCACACTCCCTGTTGTTCCATGTAGCTTTATTTACTATATCTTTACACTAATCCATGGGGATCCATACAGCAACAGGGATTTCCATAACCAAGTAACACTTAAAAAAACTGTATTCAAGTTTTGTCCTTCCTTTCTGCCACTGGGGCCTCTGAGCTATGGAATTGAAAGTAACGAATGTCCCGCAAGGCCTGTGTACCAGGAGTGTAATGCCTGTAATGGGCTAGAAAAACAACAGTGGGATCTTGTTAGGGATGGGAGAGAGCATGTAGTGAGGTAGGTTTCAAGCTGTTCCTTTATATATGTGTTCCCAAGAGTGTGAGAACTCAGGGTTTCTGTGTGGCACCTCCTAACTGCCCACTGGAGGAGGTATCCACTTGCCTCCGGGCCATCTGGTGTCCCCAGCCTCAGTGGGCAAGGCAGAAGCCACCCTCTTGGGAGGTGAGTCCCACAAGACTTGGCTCTGAAAAGCAGATTCTACTGCTTCCCAGGCTAGTGACTTGAGGCAAATCTTTTAACCTCTCTGAGTTGATTTCCCATCTGTAAACAGGCTGATGATGGCTGTCCTGCTATACCTTGTGAGGTTTTTGAGAATTTCCAAAGAAAAAACAAATCAACAAATATTTATTGTTTATCAATTATTGTACTAGGCACTGTTCCAAGTACTGACTAGCAGTAAACAAGACCCTACCTTCAGAGACAGACAATAAATTTTAAAAATAATAACATAAGTACTATGAAGAGAAATAAAGCAGGTTAAGAGGTGTGTGTGTGTGTGTGTGTGTCCATGTGAGTGCATGCATGTGCTATTTTAGATAGGGTTGTTATGGAAAGTCTCTAAGGAAGTGACATTTAAACAGATACCTAAATGACATTTAAAGCCATAGGATGGGATGATATCACTAAAAAGAGTGGAGGGAATGAAAAGAGAACTCTGCTGACCAAGTCCTCACCAGTGTTAACATCTAAAAGACATGAATTAGAAAAGGACATGCTAAGGAGAAATTGGGAGTAAATAACCTTAGGAAACTATACAGAAGTCTCATCAGCATAAGGCACTAGAAGTAAAGCTTTGTCTACAGCCAAACCCGATCCCATCTGATCTCGGAAGCTAAGCAGGGTTTGGCCTGGTTAGTACTTGGATGGGAGACTACCTCGGAAGACCAGGTGCTATAGGCATAAAAAATAAAAAAATAAGGGATTGTAAGCTGACAAGTTCCTTGCAATCTGTGAGGTCAACCAAGGGTTGCCTCGC